ATGATGGACAATGTCGAGGGCGAGACCAAGGATCTCAACGACCCTCTGCAAATCACAGACGCCATCATGAGCAAGATTAGTGGAACCAGGGCACAGGATTACTTCACGTCAGCCATGCAACATCTGTTGCTGATGCGGGATACGGAGAGCGAAGACCGGTTACGCATGTTCCAATTGGTAGATCAAATGCTCAGTTATGTGGCTATGGACCGCAGACTGCCAGACATGGATCTGAAGCAGAGTTTGAACTTTACTGTTCAGTCTTTGCTTGACAAGCTGTATACCGATTCCGAAGCCCGCCAAGTACGCGATGAGGCTGTCGAAGCACGCCAGATTGCAGACTCGGCCATTGCGGAGCGTGATGAGATGAAGGCACAACTCGAGCTGGGGGCTGACGGCTTGGTGTCGAAGCTCCAGAAACAGCTGTCAGAGCAAGAACGCATCATTGAGCTCCGTGGCAGACAGGTCGAGTCGATGAAGGCGGAACTTGCCGAGATGCAGAGGATACGAGCACAAGAGCTGCAACGAAACGAACTGGAGACGCGTGAACTGTACCTGATGCTTAGAGATGCCCAGGATGTTGCAGCGTCAGCAGCGAAGAAGTCTGGCAAAGACGGCCTCGGTGCTACGGACCCTGCTCAAATGCAAGGCATTATGGATCGTGAACGTCTGATGAACAGATTGGAGATTCAGCTTCAGAGAGCCAGGACCCAAGCCACTCTGGAAGGCAGGACTCTGAACTTGCAGCCCAGTGAGAAGCTCAGGGAGTTGCGAGAAAAGATGGAGGGCGACGTGCCAGTCATACCCGAACAAGGCTATGGAGGTCTTCAACCGACCTCATTCGGGTCGGTACGTGCCAAGAGTGGAGTACCACGCAGGAAACCCCTTCCTGGTCTTCCCGGTCAGAATGGCGACGATGCTGAGTTCTCTGAGATGGATGATGACGATGTTGTTATTGAGAAGCCCCGTCTTATCCAAATGCACAAGCCCAAGCTCAGCGCATCCACAGCCAATGCCCTTATGGCCGACATTACCTCCAACGTCAAGCGATACGACGACTCCGATGCAGAAGACAATGGCGATGGCGTTACTACCGGTCCATCCCACCCAAGCCTTGACTCCAACTCACCAAAGACACCAGCCGATGGTGATGCATCGAAAGCTGCTGGAGCTCCGCCTCCACCTCCACCTCCTCCACCTGGTGCTCTTGGATTCCCTACCAACATACCCGTACCACCCCCTATGCCTGGCACTACAGGAGCTCCCCCGCCCCCTCCTCCTCCTCCTCCACCGCCACCACCGCCTCCGGGCAAACTTGGTTTCAAAGCAGGCATTCCTCCACCACCCCCTATGCCGGGCGGCAGCATGCCACCACCGCCGCCACCTCCACCAATGCCAGGTGCCAAGATGCCTGGTTTCCTTCCCAAAGCGCCTGGCTTTGGTGCCGCCCAACAATTTGCCCTGTCTGGACCCCGGCCTAAGAAGAAGCTCAAAGCTCTTCATTGGGACAAGGTCGACCAACCCACCACAACAGTGTGGGCCACGCGTGGTCTTACTTCAGAAGAAAAGGAAGAGAAGTATCAAGAGCTTGCGAGAAAGGGTGTCTTGGAGGAGGTCGAGAAACTGTTCTTGGCCAAGGAGATCAAGGCGATTGGCAAGAAGGGTGGCAAGAAGGACGAAAAGAAGCAGATTATTTCCCGCGACCTCATGCAAAACTTCCAGATCAGTATGGCCAAGTTCTCGTCTTATGGCGTCGAGGAAATTGTACGCATGATTATCCACTGCGACAGCAAGATTCTAGACGACCCCGTTACCATGGACTTCTTACAGAAGAACGACTTGTGCGATATTCCTGACAACACTGCCAAACTCATGGCTCCCTACTCCAAGGACTGGACCGGACCTAATGCCCACGACAGTAAACGCGAGCAAGATCCAAGCGAACTAACCAGAGAAGATCAAATTTATCTTTACACAGCTTACGAGCTCCATCATTACTGGAAGAGTAGGATGAGGGCGCTTACACTCACTCGTACGTTCGAAGCCGAGTACGAAGAAATATCCAACAAGCTTCTGGAGATCTCGCGCGTGTCGGAGAGCTTGAGAGATTCGTCTAGTTTGATCAGCGTCCTGGGTCTTATTCTCGATATTGGTAACTTCATGAACGATGCCAACAAGCAAGCGAGCGGTTTCAAGCTGTCCACTCTTGGTCGATTGGGTATGCTCAAGGACGACAAGAACGAGTCTACGTTTGCCGATGTTGTCGAGAGAATTGTGCGCAACCAATACTCTGGATGGGAAGGTTTCACCGATGAGATCAGCGGTGTCGTGACGGCGCAAAAGATTAACGTTGAACAACTGCAAAACGACGCCAAGAAGTACATTGACAACATCAAGAACGTCCAAATGTCGCTCGACTCTGGTAACCTCTCAGATCCCACCAAGTTCCACCCTGAAGATAAGGTATCAATTGTCGTGCAGAGACACATGAAGGAGGCGAGAAGGAAGGCGGAGCAATTGCAGGTATTCCTTGAGGATATGCAGAAGAGCTACGACGACATCATGGCGTTCTATGGAGAAGACCCAAGCGACGAGAGTGCCAGAAGAGATTTCTTTGCCAAGCTGGCCAACTTTGTTCAAGAGTGGAAGGTAAGTCAGCCAGTTGAAAACTTGGCCATCATAGGTATATTGCGTTTATTTGGTTGCTAACTCGCTTCAGAAATCCAAAGACAAGAACATCCAACTCGAGGAACAGCACCGCCGCAATGAAATCTCCATGCGCCGCAAGCAAGCTCAAAACTCCAACCCCCTCTCCCCCAACGCACTGTCCGACTCTGACGCACCCAAATCACCTGCCTCTACAGGCGCCATGGACGATTTACTCCAGAAGTTGCGTGCCGCGAAACCAGAAGCAAGAGATCAACGCGATCGCCGTCGTCGTGCCCGCTTAAAGGATAGGCACCAAGTCCGCGTGGCCAGTGGCCAAAAGATGCCAGAAATCGGCGTCAACGTAGACGACGACAAAGAAAAGTCTCAAGAAACAGACGAAAAGAGCAAGCTCCTCAGCCCCACGAGCGACACCGCCGAAAGCGAAGCCAGCTCCAGCGGCGGCATCGCAGCCATTGCCTCGGACGCCGCAGAAGCAGACATTGCCGACCGCGCCGCCGCCATGCTCGAGGGCCTCCAATCCGGCGCCTCCATCAACAAAGACGGCTCACTATCCGTGCGCCGCCGCAGAGAAAGCGCAGACACGGAACGTCAACGGCGACGCAACCGCCGCCAACAAGCCGCCTCTGCCAAAACCGAAGATGGCCTCCTCAGCCCATCAGCTATACCCGAAGAAGGCGGCGGTGACGGTGGCAGCGCTAGTATAGACGGTACCACGGCCACTGCTAATACTACCACCGAAGACGCAGATATGGATGCAGAGAACCCACCCACCACCCCTGTTACGGTTGTTCACCCCCCAAGTCCAGAACTCAAGGGTAGGGACTTGCCTACGCCGCCGCCTGAGTAAAAATTTTGAGACTTTTTTATTACATTATTTTTTTTGTAATTCTCTTGTTCTTAGAAATTGAGGGGCTTTGGTGGCAAAGGGCTCTTCTTCTTCTTCTTCTTGAGTATTTAAAGGATAAGGGTGTAGATGGTTGGTTAGGGGGGGAGGTGTGGCCTGTATAGGAAAGGAGAAAGAGAACGGGGTGGGGGGTTGTGCGCAGCGTAATGTGTGTGTGTGTGTTGTGTGTTTTTTTCTCTCTTGTGAGTTTTGCCAGCAAGTTGATCAGGTACCACCACCCTTATCGATCTAACTAGCAAACACCTTCTTGGTTTGTGTGTGTGATGGAACTTGTCCTTTTTTTTTCTTCTCCTTTCCTTCGTTGTACTGTTCCTTCTCTTTGTACGCTCCCCCCCCCCCTCCCCGCCCTTTTTTTTGGTTACCCCGGCTTCTACATATCTCTTTTTCTTTTTTTGTGGTCATCATTCTTTCTTGGGGGAAATTCTTTGGATACCCGTTATTTCCCCCCCTCCTCCTTTCTTTTCTACCCCATTCACCCTCCCACGCTTTTTTTTTCTCTTTTGTTATACTTTAGTTAATTCAACTTGCTTTTTTTTAAGTCGCATGGTTTTTCTTTGGTTTGGTTTGGTTTGGTCTGGGTGCATGGTGTGTGTGCGTGGGGTTGGGGGATTAGAGTTGGAGATTGGATAGGAAAGAAATGGATTGNATGTAGAGGGAGGGGGGGAGGAGTAGGGCTAGGCATGTATGTATGGTATGTCTATGGGAAATGGATAAAGGGTAATTTTTTGATTTTTAAGTTTTTGGGTTGTGAGTATATAATTGTTTTTCCTCTTTTTCCTCTCTCTCTGGTATATCTGTGTTGTCCTGCTTAAGAAGTAAAAGGTTGCATTATTTTAGTACCGTTGAAAGTTTTTGGACTGGAATTTTTAGGCTTAGGTAAGACTTAGACGGGTGGGAAATGAGGCAATGTTGAGGAAGGGTACTGAGCAATGCGTGGGGATGGGGTTGCCGGTAGATGATGAGTTATATCTTGCATGGTTGCCTAATTTATTTTATTGTTCTCTGTTTCTCAAGTTGGTAGAGAGAGGACATGGAAAGAAAGCGTAGAGGTTAACAACGCAGATATAGATGCATGTCAGTGACCTTTTTTGTCGGAGAGAACAATCTACAGTTGATACTCTGGTCCTCAGCCTAGTTGTTTCAGATGGGTTATGGGAGGGCGATGAAGTGTCACATTGGTCACTGAATTGTTATCAATCTCAACCTAGGAACTTTCATGGACCAAACACTGATTTTTTGTAATACTGTACTTCTTACAAACACAAACCCCTTCCATCTCCCAAGCGCAATGGTATCATTAAATATATATCGTGAAACAGAAACATATAACATAACGACAAGAGAAAAAGAAAAGCCTTAATACACACAGAATATCGTGACGCGTATTGAACATCAGGCTTCAACTCAATCCCCCCCTTACACCACCTTACCACGTAAACCTCCCCGAAACCCTCTTCTCCTTAACCTCCCTCTTCGAAGCACTTGTCTTGGGCAACGCACTCGTACAATCAATCATATTCCGATTCGTCACACCCATCATGCCCATCTTGACCATAGCCACAACAAACGCGTCATCCCACGCCTTCTTATCCACCCCAAACCGCGCAAAAGCCAGCGCCGTCGCCGGATTCCTCGCAACGTTCCTATCAGCGGGGAGAGTAAAAGGCGCGTTTCCCCGCAGAGTCTCTGTGTAGTACTTGATGTCCCAGACACCTGGGGTGGAGTCGAGAGCGGCGCCGGCTTGGGAGGGATCGAAGAATTGCTGTTTGGCGGTTGAGTGAGCGCCGAGGAGGGCGGCGAGGTCGACGGGGGAGAAGCCTTTTGAGGCTGTTATATGTTTTGTTAGAAGAGTGTTTTTTTAGGAAAAAAAAAAAGAACTGTTTGGAGGGAAACTTACAGAACAACCTGACGATATCGTTTCCTCTGGCATCACCTCGTGGTAGTATTCTCCAGTCGTTTTCGCGGCTAGAGTCTTGTCGTCCGATTCGCACAGGAACGGTGGGACCTTCAGGACATGTCTTGATGGCGTGTGCGGCTGCGAATTGGATGAGATCGCCGACGCCGACGTTGGTTTGCGAGGCTACGCCTGCCAGGTTACTGCAGAAGCCCTGGAGAGCGCGGCTTGGGGCTTGTGCGCATTCGTTGGCTAGGATGAGAGAGCCGTCACAGGCTCCTGGGAAGCAGTCGTGGAAAGCAGCTCGGATGGCGGCCCGGGCGGCATCTGTGCATTCGCCGTTTGCGGAGAATTGTTGGGTAAGAGTGGCAGATATTTGGGTCCAGATGGCAGGGCACTGGCTTGAATCTTGTTGGTTGCCGCCGCCGAAGAAGCTGCTGATGAGGCCGAAGACGTTGATGAGTTGTCGCTTTTGTACTGGAGCTGGATCTGCTACTATCCACTTTTCATCTTCGCCAAATGTGTCATTGTTGTAGGCTTGCACTGTACTGGCAGCCACTAGGCCAGAGACCAGAATGTTGCGAATATACATTAGGTATGCGAGGTAAAAACCACGATCGTGACTAAACGATTGTTCTGGGATGGGAGGTTGGAATGACTGGAAGAAGCTGTAAAGCGAGGCAATGAACGACTGTAATAGTGTTGATTCCAAATCCAAAGGATGTCTGAGGCTCATCTACTTATACCTAGCGAGATCTTTCGGACGGCCGCAGGGGTAGTACTCACGATTAATTTTCATCCATGACATAGCACGAGTAGATCTACGTCCGAACCCTGAAGCTTGAGGGTAAGCTTTAGAGAGAATTCTGAAATAGAAACAGATCTGACGGGCCACTAGTCAGGCGATGAGAACGACCCGCTGTTTTTTGAAGAACCGTTACCCACTAACATGTTTCCAATATGGTAACGCATGCTTGCAGTCCAGCAAAGGGCAGCCGATGCGCAGATCGTCTTTGGACATGCAGTGTGATTGCAACAACCTACCTCATGCTACGAGCTGGGCATGTTTGGGAGCTTGAGTTAGCAGCGTCTTACTCGCCAACATCCAATGGCGGTTGTGTTGTGTATCTCTGCCGTCAGCTTAGAGCATACATGATGCGTTGCCGGAAACCACCATTCCAGAAGTATTTGACGCCGTTTTTCAAATACAAAACCGTCCCACGGCAGAAATTTTCTGAAAATTCAGGAGGTCATGTACTGCTTGATTGGAGGTGAACCCTTTTCGTGTCGAAACAATTAGTTGCTAAAGAAAGACGTGGGGATAATGTCTATTGTTTCAGGATAGATTTAGACTAGCGAGCGCTATAGGGCAGATCATTGTCGGCAATAAACGAGGATCGCCGCGACCCTTGGGTTTGGGCCATAGACGCCATAAGTTTGAGGCATCGGGATTGAGATTGACCTTTACCAGACGGGGATTAGCATACCGAGGTTGTTTATCGTGGGCTGGTCAGCGACGGATTTAACTGCTGGACCAATCTTCTTTATGGGGCGTTTTCTCCATAGAATACGACCGTAAAATGCTATTGTGAACAAAGAATATCAGTGTTGACTGTAGGGAAAGTGGTTCAGGGACTCGGGTGGGTGGGGTACTGGAAACGCGAAGTGGACGCCTCTACGAAGATAGTCAAAACGGTAATCCCCTAGCGAGAACCTTATTGCCGAATTGCGCCCCTGCAATTAGTTTTCGCCCCACCAGTATCGCTAAGTCGATGACAGTCTCCTGTACAAGCATTTGGACCGCGCCGGGAGCCGCAAGGCTTGGTGAACTGGCAGTAACAGTGCTTGCTGCTGAGGGGATGTGGCAGTGGCAAAATGTCATATTTCCAGAGACCAGCAGTAAGAAAGAAGACCCTACTGGTGTAACCTGTCTTATTCGCATACTCGCCACGCGAGACTCTCGCTTCAAGCTCAGGCAACGCGAAACCGATATGCACGCACCGCCGCTCTACCACCCCAAAGAACGCCACCGTCTCTCAGTGGCTGAATTGTAGTCATTCAAGGTCTCTCGTGTCACGTTGCGAAAACGCGCCACCAGTCATTGAGATGTGGTGAGACTTACGTAGTCGCAAAGCCATTGGAGTCAAATTTAGCTCCAGTTATTGTGTTCGTGGAATACCACGGTGATGAATGCGATAATGTTAGTGCTTACGCTTGGTGCAGTTGACAGGACGTGTCAAGATTCGTGATGTTTGTAGCAGGTGACAGAATGGAGTAAATGATTGGAGGTACAGAGAGCACCTAGTACGTGGATATGGAACGATTTGGAGCGATACTAAGGGAATGTGATCTACAAAGGGAGGTTGTCGGTACGCCACGATGCTGTGATGGTGTTAAACCCAGTTTCTCTTAGTGATAAGAATAGCATGGGTTGGTCGAGTAGATTGATGTCGAATACCTACTCGGACAGAGATTGAATGTGCGCGGCCGAACCCAACTAGATACATTCCAGGTGACGACTGGGTTGTGGAAAATTTCCATACCCCACGCTAAGTGGTACATGTGACAATAGAGTTGGTGCTTTAGGAAAGCACCTTCGTACTATTTGGGCGTGTTTGCATCGCCGAAGTATTTTAACAGTTGAATGGAATTAGTGTTCTTTGATTTGTTCTACCGATATGCTATTAATGCCGCTAGCTATGTTCGTTTTCTTTCATTGTAATTGCTCTGATTCGCAAATCGATGTCTTTGAAACATTCGACACATAGAATGATCAGCAGTTTAGCGATGGGTCTAGAAGAAGCTGATGCCAATTACCTCAAACAGTAAGTACATATTTTCGATTAATCCGATTGGACCGAACACTCCCTATCTGCATATCATACATATGCACGCCAAGAATGTTGGGGTAGCAGCAGGAAGCTCGCATCGAGAATATGTACCTGGAGAATTGGTCCAAGCTGCGGCTGCACCGTGACGTCATATTCTCAACCACGTCCTATCCTTTGCTTCCAAATGTTAAATGATCTGCAGCTTTTTTTTTGCTATAAATGGCAGAATCCGGCAATGAACGAGAACCCAAGAGCTTAGAAGTATGGAAAGAAATTGTAAATATGTTTGATGTGACCTTGAAGATGACCAATGCTCACTCGTCTTATACGCAAGGATAGGAACATAAACTTTTATCCGTCATTGCCGGTAACTAAGCTTTAAGAGAAAGAAATAATTTCAATAAACCCAATCATACAGAAGGGACGATGTTACATATATCTAAACATCTAAAAATCACATTAAATTGGTGTGCATGTTTACCAACTAACAACACAACCATGCATATCTAAACTACATCCCAGCATATCCCCCGGCATACACATCCGAAGCAATACCCACCCCAAGCTTCGCCCCGCATAACGACCCGCTTTCCATTCGGCCCGTACCACACCTACTTCCAAGCCCAAGATATAAAAAAAAGACCATCCTGTACAACCACTCTCACGCCACCCACCCAACCATTCACCATGCTCTCCCACCTCCGCAAAGCCCTCCCATTCCTCCTCCTCCTCCTCTCCCACCCAACCACCCAGCAACAAATCCCTCCATGCCACCCCAACACCACCTCCCACCTCCCACCTCAAACCTGGGACTCCCACATGCACATCCTGGACCCCATCCGCTACCCCTACGACCCCAGCGCCCCCTACAACACAAGCGTGCACTCGCTCTGGTCCGCCCTAACCTTTGAAACCCGCCTCGGAATCTCCAACATCGTCATCGTCCAGCCCTCTCTCTACGCAAACAACAACACCTTCCTGCTCACCCAGCTGCGCGCCATCGGCCCGGAGAACGCACGTGGAGTCGTCCAGTTTGCGCCAGACATTGCCCGGGGAGTGCTGGATGAGTGGCATGGACTCGGTGTGCGGGGTGTACGGCTGAATTTGCTGGATAGGGCAAAGGAGATGAATGATAGTGTGCTTGCGGGGTTGGTGCAACAGTATGCGGATGTGGTGAGGCCGCTGGGGTGGGTGTTGCAGATTTATATTTCTATGGATAGGATTGCGGATATTGAGGAGACGCTGAGCGGGTTGAATGTTACACTGTGTTTTGATCATTTTGGACATCCTGAGCTGCCGGCGTTAAAGGAGGGGCAGGAGAAGGGGTTCGATGTTTATTCGGTGAAGGGGTTTGCGGCTTTGATAAGGTTGATTGGGGAGGGGAGGACGTGGGTTAAGTTTTCGGGTGCGTATCGGATTGATGGGAAGATGGTGGCGTTGAATAATGTGGCGAGTGAGATACTAAAGGTTAGGACGGATAGGATGGTGTTTGCGACAGATTGGCCGCATACGAGGTTCGAGGATTATGATGTTCGGCCGTTTGTGAAGAGGTGTCTGGAATGGGCGCAGGAATTCAACTGCGTGGACCAGATGTTCAGTGGAAATGCGAAGACGCTGTGGGATGTCGAGGGTTAATAGTGTAAGAGATGGATCTGTAGAACGAATGTGATTGGGAGTCATCTTGAGTCCTTGAGACATCATAACCAAGTGGCTGTAAGTCTTATTCTACCAGTAGACACCTCGAAACTCTTGAACTAGACTCACCAGAGGAACAGTCATCCACCAGACTATGTGCTAACAATATCCAAACGCCTTTGCCATGCATATCTGCATGCCATGCCAGGTATCCAAATTAATGCCTAATGAAAAACGCCAATTCCGAAATTCAATCGAACCTCGTGTTCCTCATTTCCCCCCAAAGATCCTCTTAATATCTGCAAACTTGACTGGTTTAACCAGGTACATATCCACACCCGCCTCTTGAGCATCCATCTGATCCTGTGCACTTGCTAATCCTGTGAGCGCTACAATATGGCTCTTGGGTAATCCCATCTTCGCCTCATATTGACGAATTTGCCTTGTACTCGTCAGACCATCCATGACCGGCATGCTTAGGTCCATGAGCACAAATTCAAAGGGTCTACTTGGTGAGGCCGTAGACCTAGATTCAGCTTTGAATGTCTCAAGAGCTTCTAGACCATTGGTAGCTTCAACATAGCGCAGATTCTGGCGCTTAGCGAACACGACCAAGAGTTTGAGATTGATAGCGTTGTCATCTACAAGAAGAACGCGTGGATTGAAGTACTCACCATTCTCACTATGGCTGGGACTTAAAGGAGTGATGGTTGAGGGGAAAGGCCTTGGTGGAGGTGGTGAGGGAAATCCGACAGAATCATCGTCTTGCTTCATAGACGACCACTCGGGAGGCCTGTCGCTGTTACTTCGCTGGGGTAAGTTTCGCTCTGGGGCGAGGGACTGAAACTCTGGTTGCACAACGGAGGAGCTCATCGAACGGCTGATGGCTCGCTCGGTACTGAGCCGTGAAGCGCGACTTTGACATGATAAGAGGGTTCGAGCAAGTTTCCGAGGACCGCAGCTATTAAAGATTTAGCATAATCAGTGCTATAAGGAAGTCATATAACTTACGGCTGGGTAACGATTTCAGCTATCCATCCAAGCGTATCGATCTGTCGTGCGAGCTGAGTCTCTACTGCTGCCTTCTCAGAAGCATCTGTGCAAACACAGATCATACCAAGTGGAGACTTCTTAGATCGACTGGCTGTCGCCTTGTTTATCAGTTGGAACAGTGATGGAGAGTCGGTAAGTAGGAAGTCGATGTCGGCCAGCGAGGTATTGCTATCGGAGTTTTTCGACTCAACAATGTTCATATCAAAGTTCTTGCAAGCATTCTCCATTGACTGTTTTGTCCTCAGACCACGTTGGACACCGTCAGTTTCAGTCATGTCGCAAACGATACTGGCTGATAAGCCCTTCAACTCTTCTGGAGCGCGTAGAAGCGCATGGTCCTGATGTGCATTCTCCTTGGAACCGATTGGCAGACGCATGTTAATCTTAATAATGGTACCAGCGTTTTGAGTGCTTTTGACTTCAATCTCACCCTTGAGAGATTCAACAATTTGCTTTACGATTGAAAGACCCAGCCCGGTACCGGAACTGAAAGGATCCTCTTGGCTGAACGGTGAGAATAGCTTGGTCCGTTGGTATTCTTGCGACATTCCTCTTCCGGAGTCTTCGACACTAAGACTGAGGTTCATGAAATTGGCAGTCGAACCGTTTTGTAGCATCTTTATGGCAATGAAGCCAGAATCAGTGTACTTCAAAGCGTTGCCCACCAGGTTCATCACGATTCGACGGAGGGCGCCGGGCTGAGAGCGCACAATCCAGCTAACATAAGGGGCCACGATTAGCGATACAGCAACAGAGCCATGTGTATCCCTGCCTTCTACATCGGTATTGGCATTCGAATTCTGTTCAGAGCCTTTCGCAGCTGCATTCTCAGCTTGGTCATAGATGGCAGACCCACGAATGTGGTGTGTTTTTCTGAATGTGTGGCCAGCGCAGACTGTGTCGCAAACTTCTTCCACCAATTGAGCCAGGTCGACGTCGGAAGTCACACCAAGAATGGAATTGTCGGCCGGGAGTCTCTTGTTCCGACCCTGACTTCGATGTCTTTGAACAGCGTTCCCTTTCTGTAATTTGTTGATCTTCGCGTAATCAAGAACGTGGTCAATAGTATCCAGTAGTGTCTTTCCACATGTTTCAATCGAAGAGACGAGGGATTCTTGGTATGCAGATGCCACTGTCTCACGTAGAAACTCGACCGAGCCGAGGATACCATGGAGTGGCGATCGTAGCTCGTGTGAGATGGATGCAATGAAGGTTGTCTTGGCACGATCAGCCTTTTGCGCATTGAGGCGCGCCACCTCACTGGTGACTGAATTTCCAAAGGCCTGTAGGTATGGCAGCTCGTTATCCGGACTCATTAGCCTTCCAGCTTGAGCTGTCCAGATGAAGCCTCCTGCAATCCATCTCTCCGTACTCGGATCCCACAAGGGCAAGAAGATCAAACTGCGGACCTTGGGTAAAACCTTCAAAAACTCTGTGGGAACAAATCGTTCTCGCTTCTTTCGCGGCTTCTTCGTGCCTGCTGTAGAAGCGTTTACAGTGCGGTCCGATTGCTCGGTTTCGGAGCGCTCGGATCGCTCGTCGGATGAATTGACGCCGATGCCGTCTTCATTGAAATTGAAAAACTTTCCGTAAGGGTAACGGTGTATGTAGCGCTCCATAGCAGCCTCGGTGAAGCTAAACTCAGAGTGCACCAAACTCGCGTTACCTTCCCGCAAAGAAAGGCCTGCTACAGGGCACGGTTTGCTATCGACGATGCTTGGATCCGCTGTACCATGTGTATTGACAAGGTTCTGCTTTTTCATTCTTCGAGATGTGGTCGAGTCGCCGGTATCGGTGTTATGTGTTGCACTCTCGTCGCTGCTCCCAGCGTTTCGGTTGTAGTCGTAGAGGTGAGTCCTTATGCCGGCTGCAGATGTATCGAAGAAGACGACACCATCAGCATCCGTACTCTGCCGTATAATGCGAGCTGCGCGGTGAAAGATGCGGGATGCGTCCGACTCGGCATCGCGCTTGCGCTGCGCTTGCCTGCTGGCTGTGGCATGTGTGGATGTGGAGTTGCTTTCAGACTCTTCCTCATCTAGCGTCACCAAGCGTGCGTTCTCAGTCTGCCTCTCCATAGTGCTGGATCGATTGCTGTCCTCGCGCATGTCCTGGGCAGACGAGCGCTCGATGAACTGGGTCAAGCCTCGTACCATACGCTCCCCCTTATTCCGATCCATACTGTCTTTGGCCAACTCGAGGTGCTCCATGACGGCGGCTGCAACATCTTGCATAAAGCGCACCTCAGCAGCCGTAATGGCTTCACGAGGTCTTTCGTCAGATACGGCATATACACCAATGCGATTTCCAGCCTTGGTGACAATGGGAACACCTGCGTAAAACCTCACACCAGGCTCGGATGTGACATAATCTCTCTCAGCGAAACGAGGATCCAATCTGCAATCAGGAATGACCATGCATTCCGCCTCGAACGTATCGCCATTGTCTTCCTTTGCGATATATGTCGATGCGAAGGTGTGGTAACAGACGGCGTCTACCTTGTTCAGTATGGCGTTGCCTAACCATACCTCGTCCTCGGGCGCTTCGGCGACAGGTTTGAATAGCGAAAGTGTGCGAGTGGCCTCAGCGAGGATGTACTGTCGGCTCGAGTCGATCAGGGAGACCATAGCCCGGCGCGTGTCAAGACGGAGCGTAGCCAGCTGCGCAAAGGCAGTCAAAGAGCGATCGCGCGACGACTGCGGCTGGTAGCCAGAGTAAGTCAGAGGCTTACCAGAGCCGTCGGCATCTAGCAGGCTCTGGCCGTCGAGCCATGGGCGGTAATACCTGGGGGATAGGGTCAACGGCAGCTAGCCTAGAGTACATATGCACAACGACTAACCTGTGGAGATCACGCTCTCGGATTGCTTCATAAGAATAGCCCATGGTACTTTGTGTTAGTGGGGGTATCTCAACATGGCATTCCGCACGCGCAATAATTCACGTATCCCAAGGCAAGGGCACAGTGGCGGGGGGACATGCGACGAGTTGTGTCAACCCACGCCATCGACGATTAGCTGGAGATTGATGCCGCGGGCGACTGTTTTGAGTGAGTGATTAACTCAATGCGTATTAGAGGCCCCGACCCTGGCCAGTGGAGGTTCCAAGATTCCACGGTCATTTTGCCATGGGTACAGAGAATCCGATGAAAAGACGACTGCGGTTATCGAAACATGACGTGCCATCGGAAGGCGCGCTTAGTGGCTTTGCACCCGCAAATCCGAGCAGACGCCGATCTCCCGCAATGCCGCCGATTTGCAATGAACAGAACCTGCCCACCGAAACACAGTACGCGACAAGGCCGGTGACACAGGAGACGCAATGTTCGAATTGCCGGATGCGAAGCGGTAAATCTCAACCACGAAGACACCCAGCACCGACTACATGATACTGACCTTGCCAAGGGTGCGCCGCGACGAGCTCCAGTCGCCCACATCGTCGCCACGCTCTTCGCCGGATCGAAACCTCGAAGAGCTTTTCCGGTCCAGGATTCACAGCCAATTTGCGTATACAACGACCGAAGAAGTTGTCGAAGACGCTGCGCACAGCGATGACGACGAGGCGGAACTGCGACTCTTTGCTGCACCTTCGAATGCACCCGCGCAAACACACAAGATCCGTTTATCGTCCCCCACTGCCGACAGTGGAGAGCCGGGCCTCATTTTGAAGAAGCCCCGAAGCTACTATTTTGCCGATGAGCCCACAAGTGACGAGGAGGCTGCCTTCCAGGCGGCAGCCATGGATGGAAAGGGCGTCTTGGAGCTGTCACAGCTGCCTTGGCCGGGTTGCGCCTTGCCGTGGAAAGTGTGCAAAATCTCGCCGGCAGGAATGAGAAAAGAAGTTCTGACCGGCCATCCTCCAATGCTGACCACGGTAGAGGAAAGAACACACAAGCGCACAAGAAAGAGCAAGAAGACGCGAATTGCAATTAGGAAGAAGCTGCAGGCGACCAAGGAGAAAGAGAGTGAGCAGGCACGGCTTGCGCAGGAGAAGCTGGAGGCGGAGCGCGAAAAGAAAACACGCAGGAACAGAGAAAAGAAGCTGAAGAAGAAGGCAAAAGAGCAGGCCAAAAAGGCGGTAGATGGAGGGAATGAAGAGACCAAGGAGATTACGGGAGATGCAGAAGGAGCATCTGTGACTAACCCTACTGTCGCTCCCGCCGATGACGCCATGACCTAAACTCAACTATGTGACATTTTCAGGTTACAACAATCACGCGGATGCTGACTGGGCTCAACATGCGCCTTGGAGAGCGTTCTCTATGACATGGAGCTCTCAATCATGATGTTGCCCTTACCTGCTTCCCCTTGAAGCGCGCCGTGTGCAAGCGATACCTAATAGCAGTATCTTTCCCAGTCTGCTTGACAGCGAGCGAAACTTGTGTGAAGACTTGGGAGCACAGATGCGGATACAAGTCCGTTGCAGAGCCCCGCTGCTCCTTCCAACACCGTGTCCACACTGTTCCTTCTCGATCGGGGGCCGTGCATGTTGATCCACATGGACGTGCAGAGAAGGGAATACACATTTCTCGCGAGACATGTTTCCTGCGCTCCTTCCTTCCTGTATGCAATACGAGGCAGGTTGCCAAAGTAAAAATAACTACCATATCAAACCACGCATCTATACGCCTCACTTGTCATACCTCTTTCTCAATCTCATCCATGATACTCACCGCTTCCACCGCAATCCCCCTAACTTCATTCGTAATCACATCCATTCCCGCAACCAGCTCAACTCTCTTCTTCCACAACCCCATGACCTTTGCATTCAGCCTTGCCGCGCCACACTGTAGGCTGTGCACCCAGCCTCACCCCGCCCCGCCCTTCATAAAAGTGACCATGTCGCAAGTCGTAGCGGAATTCGCTCATAGACCTTTGCGCTATCTTTCTCTTAGATGCGATTTTTAGTATACTAGCTTGGCGTCCTACACCCCAAACTACGCGCTGTGTCGGCTTCGGCCTCGTCAACGTTGACGGGTTTATTTTATCCTCCTTGTAGAGTTATATCATCATAGTGGTTTATCAATCGCACTTCACAGAAGTAAGTTTGGTGATTATCAACAAGGTTTAACACTTGATAAGAATGTTGCTATCACTATTTCGTAGCAGAAACTAATAGGTAAGCAGATTCTAGTATCGCGAACTAATACGCCTGAACTGACATGAAATCCTGGGAGCTTCTGTGCGACGAGCCGCAACCTACGAATGATTCAGGCCCTCTACCAGAGTTTGCATACGAGCCGTTAGCATCACCCCAAGGATGTATTCGCCTCATTAACATCCTCGAGGTTTCCACAGATGGCACCATTATATGCGCCATGAAAGAAAAGCAATTCAATCTCAATTCAGGAAGTTACAATGCTCTTTCATATTGCTGGGGCCCGTCCAGACCTCAATATCGAATCATCGTCAATGATAAAGTCCTGTATGTTCGAGAGAACCTTAGGGATTTTATGTATGCTGCGCGCACAGCTCACGAGGATGCTTGTCATGATATATGGATTGATGCTATATGCATCAATCAATCAGACCTTGCTGAGAGAGCTATCCAAGTTGGCCAAATGCACCATATATTTTCCAATGCAAGAATCGTCTACGCTTGGATAGGAAACTGGGACATGAGATTTAGCTCAGCCTTCCAAAAACTTGAAGAACCCAATGCAGATAGTGAGCCGGCTCTTTCGTTTTCCCCCCATCGTTCGTTGATGAAAGCTGATTATATCACAACCTGTTGTCCCGTGTTCTAACATTGATTTAGTCCCCAGAACCTGTAATAAATATTCAAGTGTACACATTTCTATGCGGCACTTGTTCGCACGAGACTACTGGAGCCGGATGTGGATAGTCCAGGAAAATATCCTTGCTTCCAACATTCGCCTCCTTTGTGGCAGCAAGTCATTAGCTTGGAACACTAAATCGGTATCGCAACTCCTAAAGACAGCCATCAGCGAGCAATGGACGGGCCACCCTTCTAAGAAGCAAGCAAACTCTAGGAACATGAGCGTTGCACAGCATTTGGTTCATCTGTCCCTGAGCCGTGCTCAAGGTGACAACACCGCCAATTCTCCAACCTTGTATGAGCTCCTTAGTCAACTGGGCCAAGGGGAATGTGCAGACGTCCGTGATAGGATCTACTCACTACTTGGACTGTTCCCCGAGGGGCCAAGCCTACAGGTTGACTATCTCATTAGTGCTCCTGCGCTTTTCTTCAACGTGCTACTAACACTTGAGCGCAAGAGAGGATTCCGTGACTGCCTAGTCTTAAGGAAAGCTCTGGGCCTCACCCATCAGGATCTAGAGAACTACTGGTCCAGCCATAAGCACCAGTACAGCAACTCTGAGGATATAGTGATCCACTTGGCGGAACTCAAGTCCATCAAGGAATGGAGCAACCCACTAGATCCAGAAATCCACTTCACTCCTTTGCATGACGAAATAAGATCCAGCGATTATATTTGGGAGTTTGCACGCATGCCGCACCTCAGCCACGCACTCATTCTGAGAGATGGTTCTGGTTCCGTCAGGGGTGCGACAGGAACAATGACATGTGTGGCATTGGGACTCATTCATAATTCTCGAGAGTTTTGTAATGGGCCTTGTCACGCATATGACTGGTCACATCTCCAACTCAGCGTATTTCCTTGGGAGTCATTCCAACCCGCCACAGTAAGGAAGCAAGGTTTGAGGCCATCATCATCTTCAATAGCCATTCATGTCAGCTCATCCATGTTGCTCTTTCTTATGAAGTGGTTCGATATCACTTGGTATAAGCTTCGTGCCGACGAGTATGGCCACAGGGGTGAACCCCCGTTCTCAGAACGATCGTACTGGAAGACTACCGGGTACACAAAGATACGTCGCCCGCTCGGATCCCAATGCCTGCATTTTTCTACCATCCACCTCAAGAATTCGATCAAGTCTACAATCCTTGAGGCTCCAACATTGGAAGCCAGTAGCATCATTCCGTGCGACTGCGAGCCAACAGCAGATTATTTTGGAACATCTACGAGGACCGGCCGTGAACACTGGTCTACTAACCATACCCACTATTGGTAGAGAGGCCGAGTGAGATGTTGCTTTGTGATCTTGGATGATGGGAGCCCGCCGGATCCTCCCAGCAGGGTGCAGCGATGTTTGCATTATGATCAAACGTCATCATCCTTTTCCCTTCATTCATCAATGCTACTCTGGCAATCAGAACCCAGAACCGGTTCCAATTCCTGTAAACATGAATATGTATCTAGATGATATGTCGGTTGTTGTGCGTCACGACTTCTTCAGGATTTGAGTAAGACATTTTGAAAGGGATAATGGAGACTGTGTAATAGAAAGCGCCCTTCAGCCCTTCAGATAGCTGCTAGAGGAGAAAAAGGCGAAAGCATTTTTGTGCACGCTGATAATTGTTGAAGAGTGTCTCACTCAGTAGAAGCTGCAGTCGTTAAAAAGCTTGTTTCGTGGTGTTTCAACATTTATGAACACGATCTGTGATCTGCCGTGCATGACGGCCCAGGCACATACAAGGCATCAACAGAGTCTGTTGGAAAATTGGTCGCATAATAGAGAGCTTTTCGGTATTGGCCAAAATTCGTGACAAGTTAGCGTAGAAGTCGGGTTTCACATAGAAAGAATCTCCGGCTCGTATGTGGCAGAACGTGATGCAACAGTGGCGATGGTGCCCATTGCCTTGAGCGTGCTCGCTCGCTTCTGCGACCCAAACGCCGAGTCAGTTGGAAACAGGGACCCAACGTGACCCTTGACACCACCACCTACTCACCTACACCAACTGGCCTGCATAAAGGTGCCCAAGAGCAGTACCGAACGCGCAAACCTTCGATCGGCACAGCTCGTCAGCCCACCATGTCGTCTTACCTCAATAATCTCCTCACCAACACGACATCGCGCTACAACAACCTGCGACGACAGATCCTATCCGACGAAGCAGATGGCGATACAGAAGACGACTCGCATCTCTCGCGAGTGCTTCGCGCATATTATACGGAAAAGGGCAGGCCCTTCCCCCAATGGCTTCCACCAGACCCAAAGGCCCCCCAGCCCGCGACCCCGACACAGTTCGCATCTTCTTCGTCACTACGACAACAGGGACAAGCGCCGCCAATGGGCAGAGGAGGTGGAGGACTCAGCGATCTGTGGGATACTCCTGCGCCGCAACAGCAGGCACAAGAACCACTGTCGCTCCGCCGAGGTGCAGGAGGGCGTCCTCTGCAAGGCCGACCCATGGGCAACTCCATGACGCCAGAGCCTCAAGTACAGGGACGACCATTGCCGAGTCAAAGGGCTGGTAGCTACCAGAGCTCGGTAGGAGGGCGTCCTCAGGCCGAGTCTTCATCACCACCACCAAGCGCAGGAGGGGGCACATCCGCGCAGGAAAGGCTCAAGGCCAGGCTATGGGGGAGGTCACAGAGCCCAGCCCAGCGCGGACCAGCTTCAGATTCTGGCAGCGCCAACCCGTCTAGCCCGCGCAGCCCATACGACCAAGGAGGACGACCACCATACCCGGAAGAGCGAAGTAACAGCTATGGAAGTAATGGCAGCGCCGGTGGAAGGCAGCAGGGCTATTCTGGCATGTCGGCAAACTCGCCTTGGACTGGCAATGCTGATCCGTATGCGCCACAGAATGGAGGATACGGGGGAAATGCACCGCCACGCGGACCACCGCAGGGCGGACGTATGGGTCTGCCGAGTGGACCACGCATGCGCTGAAGGCCTTTTGAGTTCTTGGTGGGTTGAGCATGGCGTAACGGAGTGGTTGTTGGTACTCATTGGGAAGGCAAGCATGGGTCTGTAGACATTTGGCAGCATAGTTCAGGTTTACTGTACGGGCAGGTCCTTAATAATATCGATATATTCAACTCGGGGTCATACAAAGCACCAATATCAGTTTTCAATTATCTGCGCGCGCCAGGTTGTTGTCCAGGTCGTGCTACTACTACTACTACTACTACTACCACCACCTGATTCGATGAGGGGCGACGGTAGCGTCGACGCGTTCCCCGCGCACAGCCACACTCGTCATCCGGCGAGCTGAGCCTAGCCGGCAAGCATCACCTGCGACTATACGCCGCCGTCCAAGCATGTGCACCAGTTTGCCTAATATCTAGATTATCTTTTACATGCTCACCAGCATCTTGGACCTACACACAAACCTCTCTCCATCTAGTGCCACTGTATAACTCTGGTGGCCTTATAGCCCCGCATGGCTTCCCAAGCAGAGGCGCCACCCTCTCCAACCGCGAGCTTCTATGATATGAGTGATGATGAAGAGGGCGAGTACAACACAATTCGACATACTAGCAGTGGCAAAGGCGTAAAGCTACTATATACAAAGAGCAAAGTTCGCACAACGACATGTACATTTGGCTATCTGCAGACTGTACTAACACGCATAGGTATACGTACATCCCTCACCCTCGTCTAAAGACAACATCCCTGGCTTCATTGCCCTCATACAACAAAAGTCCACCCGCTCGCCCAACGATGCACGCCCTACTTCGTCCTCGTCTGCTCGAAGCGTCAGCGCGTCCTCACTTCTCCTGTGCTGGATACCAGAGTCTAGCCTCGGCGATGCATACGATACCTATGTCAAGGTTGATCTATCAGACTCCTCATCACCACCTAAACAGTCATATCTAGTGCCACCACCTCCCACACCTTCCACACACTCTGTTACTCCCGGATATGCATTTGCACTACCCGTCAGCGAGATATATTCGGTCTTGATACGACCACCAAGTATAGGATGGTGGTTTGGGAGCGTGGTTGTCAATACCCGTGCTGGTGACAGTTTTCCTGCGCTATTCTTCCATGACAGCGAGTGCCAGTCCACTATCATGCAAAGGAAGAAGCTCGCAAAGGAGAGCTTTGATCCGTTCGGTGACGGAGGTGGCATGTTCTGGGGCGGCGATGAGGTACTCAGATGGCTCAAACGATATGTCACAGTTGAGCGGTCGGGAGCCGACCCTAGCATATATCTCATCGATCCCTCTGAAGAAGACAAGAAGTCATTTGGAAAAGATGTGGCGCCAAGGAAGAGCACCGAGGGTCAAGCAGGCGCGTCGTCTTCGCAACAAGGCGGACAAAGAGACGGAGCAATGGATCCAGTAACAAAGGCGCTCAAAGAAGCGAGATGGAATTTCCTCGAGAAGCTCAGCCAAGTCACTACATTTACAAGAAGGACTGCACAAGCCGTTGCAGACAACCCCAAGATCCCTCCTCAGGTTAGGCGCTTGATTCAGAATCCAGAGGTGCAAACTTTGCAGGAAGAGTTCGACAGTGCACGGTTATATCTTGCGAGATGGGCTATGGGCATCGCCGAACAAAGTGAACGAGAGCGAAACCAGCGCATATGGACAGCCAAAGACGTCTTGGCAATGGAGGAAAGCGACGTTGGCGACTTTGAGATTCTAGACATGGACAAGATGACCATGGCCGATCGAAGAAAACCAGTCACCTTGGAAGAGTGGACGGGCTTTTTCGATTCCAAGGGACGACTGCAGTTGATGCCAGACGAAGTCAAGGACCGTATCTTTCACGGTGGCCTAGATCCCGATAACGGCGTGCGCAAAGAGGCCTGGCTATTCCTTCTGGGTGTTTACCAATGGGAAAGCTCAGAGGAAGAGAGACGCGCACACATCAATAGCCTTCGCGACGAGTACATTCGGCTCAAAGGCGCGTGGTGGGAGCGGATGGCTGAAGGTCAGCACACCCTAGAGGAAGAAGAGTGGTGGAGGGAGCAGAAGAACAGGATAGGTTAGTTCCCTTGTTCGCTTTGGCTCTTTTGAACGTTCACTGACTTCCCCCATTCCATGGGGTCCGTTGTGTAGAGAAAGACGTACATCGCACAGATCGCACTATCCCCATCTTTGCTGGCGAGGATATTCCTCATCCTGACCCCGACTCTCCATTTGCAGATGTTGGCACGAACGTTCATTTGGAGCAGATGAAGGATATGCTACTTACCTACAACGAATACAACAAGGGTCTCGGCTACGTGCAAGGCATGAGCGATCTGCTCGCGCCCATTTACGCAGTCATGCAAGACGATGCAGTTGCCTTCTGGAGCTTTGTGGGGTTCATGGACCGCATGGTAAGTTTTGTAGTAAACAACACACATTGGGATACAAGAGCTGATTATGAAATAGGAGCGAAACTTCCTACGAGACCAGTCTGGGATGCGCAAGCAACTCATGACTCTGGACCATCTTGTACAGCTCATGGATCCTAAGCTGTACCTGCACCTTCAGTCAGCGGAATCGACCAACTTCTTTTTCTTCTTCCGCATGCTACTTGTTTGGTATAAGCGAGAGTTTGAATGGGCAGATGTACTGCGGTTGTGGGAGTCCTTATGGACTGACTACCTGAGCAGCAACTTTCATATCTTCATTGCATTGGCTATACTGGAAAAGCATCGGGAGATTATCATGGCGCATCTTAAGCATTTTGACGAAGTGCTCAAATATGGTAGGTGGAGAAGCCTGTCTTTGCACTCAGCAGACACTGACATTATCCCAGTCAATGAGCTTTCCGGTACAATGGACCTGGAGTCAACACTCGTCCGCGCCGAGTCTCTGTTCAAGAGATTCCAGCGAACAGTAGAAACCATTGACAAAAAGGGAAACTTTCCCTCGGCGCCACAAGCGAGGCAGCGGAAGCCAGCCACTGGGGTGACTGGTAGTTCAGGCTCCTCATCGTCGACGAACCAAGCGACGAGCTCTGGTACTGACAAAGGCAAGCAGGCTGTTGGGGATGAACAAGAGACCAGAGTAATCAGTCCAGAACTTCGCGCATTGCTAAGTCGGAAAGTAGAGAAGCTGGACAAAGATAAGATGTCGGAGCAGGGTAGCGGCGTTGGCAAGTAGGCGTTGTGAAGGATTGTTATCGTTAATTCACGGGTGGCGTTATGGGATGGCAGGATAGCTTTGGGAATACATCGGGGCATTCACTGCGGCTGGCGCGTTTGATAGGCTAATTCAGAAACGCCATTGATGATATCGTATCTCCACGTTCATTGCGCACCCCGCACTTCATCTTTCGTCATCACGTGGTGCCACGTCTGCCCTCATGCATCATGTTTTTATATTTCATTTTCAAGAATATACCTGCTGCGTCCTGACCGCGTTTTCACCCTCAATCAAAATCGGTTGCGCGGCTGTCGCTCATGGGCCTGACTCGCGCGTTCTGTTTTCTCCAAACAGTAGCCTAGCACTTCACAACTTTATTGATCACCAACGCTACACTTGTATGATATGAACAAACCACGTGCGGCTGCACCCTTCTCACTTCATGAAGAGAGACACCGTGCCAGTGAAACCTTCAATGAACTATATCAATCGCTTCATCGACCGGCACTTGTCGCCGCGTCCGCGTACACAACGACCCTCTCAGCCGCCGAAACCCCTAGCGAGCTCCCATCACCAACAAAGGATACGCTTGCGCCCTCATTCTCACCACAAGCACAAGCGACGCAAACGCCGCCGGGAGATGAAGGCGTTCAAGGGGCCTTGGTCTAGCGACCTTGATTCATTCAAGAAGTTGGTGCACTCGATCCCAGAGCAGTACAAGTCATCATTCGCTACTTCCTCAAAGGCAACGATCGACAAGATTTGCGATCCAGGCGTGCTACATGTCTGGGAGTCGAACTCTGATGTCGACAGCTTGTTGCAGCTCGCCTCAATCATTGCTAAGCTCTGCAATCTTGGAGTGCGCAAGAACGCCGGCGCGAACCCCAAGGATGGCTGTATGGTAATTATCGCTGAAGAGAACAGCAGTGGGAGCAACTTTAGTCGCATCTGCGAGTATGTTGGTTACCTGACTGGAGCCAAACTGCGGGGCCACCTCGAAGACACTGTTGCTGCGTATGGCAAGATTGTTGTGGTCAGGGGCTGGGACAACAGTGTACTGAGTGGGCAGCGCGAGGCGCTTGAGAAGACTGTCCGACGAATCAACATTGCGATTGAACGTGTGTTGAAGATGGGGAAGTTTGAAGGCAAGAAGAGGAAGATTGTGTGGCATCACAATGCAGTCATTCCCTTCTTGTTGCATTGGATCAATACCACGACACCGGCCTTGCGCTCGACCATATCTGCGATTACTATCACTGGATCACTGGACTTCTCTACTCGCATTGGACCCTCTACCGCCGGTCGCGCAAACAAGGTGCCTGACCTCGAGCGTCTAGAGCAATATGCAAAGAAACTTGGTGTTCCTGTTGTCTTTCTCGACTCATCTTCACAGCTCATCAACTTTGACTATCTGGGTACATACATGTACTACTACGCCTACTACATCAACACCTTCCTGCCCTCCTCACTATCTAGACCCCATCTCGAAAAAGCACAAGACGAACTCGTCACCTTTTCTTTTCGACTCCGCGCAGCCAGCGAAGCCAAGTACGGCATGGAAGCAGTCAAAATGGTACAAAAGTACCTAGACCCACGCACCGCCAAACAATGGGCACACAACTGCATCAACAAAGACAGTTACGAGAAATCCAAATGCCGCGCCGCCGGCAAAGACGAATCAATCCACCACGCCGTCCAGCTCGCCGACTGCCCCTTCGCCCGCTTCTCCGCAACTCCCGGCGTCCCTGCCTTCGCGCGCCTCGCCGCCGGCCCAGCCTCCACCTCGACACCAGACCACTACACCGCCGCCCCCGTCAGCATCGCATTCCGCAAATCGCAATTCCGCCCCGCCAGCCCCTCGACCTTCTACATCCTCATCCCGCAAGCTACGCAGGACCTCGAAAAAGTCACAAGCCGCATCCAAGGCCTCATGATGGCCGTCCTCGAGCGCATCCGCCGCGAAAAAGGAAATCCGCTCCTTGCCGACGACGAAAAATGCATGTGGCGCGATGTCGTCAAAGCGTGTACCTGGGCCCTCGATGGCTGCGAGGACAAGATGCCAAAGGATATGCTAAGGAAGGTGAGGTTTGTCAAGCAGAAACTCAAGTCTGGCACCTGGGGGTATGCCGTTAATGCCCCGGCTACTAATCCTGATGCTGCGGCTGGAGCTGCGGGGAATGCGGCAGCGCAGCAGGGCGTTGAGATGAATCGGCCGTATGCGTTTGATCAGGGTAAAGCGCAGAGTGCTACGCCGGGGTATTATCAGGGTGGTGTCCAGCATGTGCTTCAGGCACCCTTGGATGGCGCTGCTCAGGTGGCGCCTCCACAGATTTATCCTAGTGTTGGGCTTGGAGGCCTTCGCGGGAGTGGGCGCGGCTTTACTTGACATGATTTTCTTTCTTTTGTTTTCAACGTACGCTGGCATTGTCACTTGTTTTCTTTTTTTCTTTCTTCTCTTGCTTTCTTCTTGTTTACACTTTTAGCATTTGTCCGACATGCTTGAGCATTGAGCATGTGGAGTTTAGGTCATGACTTGACGATTAGATGATGCATGGATGGGTATATATCTTATGAGTAATGACACTTATGATTGAGTATGTTCTTAGCGTAATGCGACTTCTACTTGCTGGCGATGGAAACGGAAGAGTGAAGAAATGTAGTCGAGTATGGCTGACTGATGATGTTTTTTTTTGAATTGGTCTGTCTTCTACCTTTTGTCGATACTATCTTTGAGGACTATTGCCTATTCAGAGTATACTAATGAATAGTGCTGGTTTTTAGGCGTTATAGTTCATTGCACCTAACTGTATAATCCTCTATACCGTGTCTAATATCCTCGTCCTGACATTGTACATGGATTCTACAGCAATTACTCACTGCCATGGTAGAGGAATACCATTGAATTTCTCGCTTATTTAGGACTTTTTCGAAAGAAAGTCATGAGGGAATTTTTTTTAAATTACACGGTCCTTGTATATACAAAAAGAAAGATACTAAAGTACATGGCAGGTTGGGGTGTAGATGCCCTATGCAGACGCCCGCACTTAGAGCAAATCCTCTTCTGATTGACCATGAGCTTCCCTACGTATCCCAGCTATTTCAATTTTCTTCTGCATTGTTTTGAAATGCCGGCGACATCTAACTGTAAATGGATGCTGAGATCCATATTGCTCAGTCAGTCCATTGTATGCTTGTTGGTATAGCTTCGTTGCTTCCGCGTATCGATGAAGTCCGAGCAAAGAACAGGCAAGATCGCAAGTATGCTTAAGTGTATCGGGATGGCGCTCCCCAAGCTTCTTGGTAGATATTTCTAGTGCTTGCTGACATAACTTTTCGGATTCCCTATACCTACCTTGAGTAGATAACATCCGTGATATGTCAGACATGGTAAGCAGCATTAAATCCTCGTTCTCTCTTAGCTCCTTCTTGCCCACTTCTAAAACTTCTTGAAATAGCCTTTCCGCATCGCTATACTTGTTCTGAAAATACATTACTGAAGCTAGCATCCTTTTAGCCGACAGCGTTGAGTAATGCTTTTCTCCTAGCTCTTTCTTATACTTTTCTAGGGCTTTTTGATGAATATTTTCGGCCTCATCGTGCTTGCCTTGATCACACAGCGTTGATGCCAATAGTACCATATTCGCTAGCGTAAGGGGGTCGTACTCTCCTAGAGCCTTTGTGCTCGCTTCTAGTGCTTGCCGGCTGAACTTTACTGCCTCTTCAGGCCTACCTTGATCCCGAGTAACTGCCGCCAACAGTGTCATAGTAAGCAGAGTTCTCATATCACTAGGGCCTAAAGTCTTCTCCTCAACAGCCAGTATCTTTGCTGCAATCTGTGCGGCTGTAGTAAAGTCTCCCTTTTCATAAAAATAATGCGCTGCATTTTTCAGTACCTTTGCCCAGGACGGTAATATCCCTCGGGTAGCTGGCTTGCTATGGAAAAGTGGTTCGATGTGTGGAAACAACTGCTGCCACTTTTCCCAGTTTTTATACGTCCCAAATGGCAACTCTTTCTTCATCAGCTCTATAAACTCTCCTTCCCATCGCTCTGCACTACCATAGGATGACAGCCATACTCGCGTGCAGAACTGAACTAAAGCGTGCATCTCGCATGTGTGGTCTGCGGTCGTTGATACTAAGGAGTAAGCTTCTAGAGTAGCTAGGTCCTCGCCAAACCCGCAATCATGGTCTTCTTCTTCATCTTCTTCATCTTCTGTGGCAGTCTCCCTCACTGTGTAGTTTCTGAATCGCCGCAATGTCCACTCCGGTATGCCCTGTGGGCTGAAGAAGCTCATGAGCGACAATAGGTCAGCTGCCGATGGCCGTTCGTAGCGAATCTGGTCGAAGGACATCTGCCAGGTAGTTAATATCGAGCTGGACGCACTCTCGTCTCGACGCAACTCGACTACATCCCACTTCAGCAAACACTCTCGCTTCTTGTCATTTTTCTGAAAATCGTCTAGATAACGTGCCACCGTCATGTTTGCACATCGGTTCATGTACGCAGCCGCCTGTGTAATGGCAAGAGGTATACAGTTGAGTTCGTGTAACAGTTTTAGAGCGCTCTCTTCAAGGGGCGGATTGCATAGTTTATTGCGCAGCAACTGGAGACCCTCGCCTGTGCTCATCGCGAGCACCTCGCAAATCTTGTTGTGACCGCCCACTAGGTTGGATGCCGCATCTTTACTTCGTGACGTGACTAGTATCGCTCCGTTGAGGCTCTGGGGAAGGTAGACGGCCAGGGGAGTAGAGCTGTCGGTGTCTGTCTCATCCCGCTTGCGTTTCCGTGATGGGAAAAAGGTCTCTACATCGTCAACATTGTCCAAGACCATGAACCACTTCCCGTTTCTCTCATCCCGGAGCCAGTTTCTAACTAGCTGTAACACGTTCGCTTTGGGGTCGTCCTTGCCTGGCAGCTGTAGCCGGTCTGCGATATCTTTATACGCTTCCTCGAACCGGGCGCGGGTACTAGCATGCACCCAGAAGATAAACGTCTGCGGGCTCGCATCGCGGATTCTATGGGCGTATTGTATCGCGATCTGCGATTTTCTACGACATATCAATGGATTGATATTGCGATAGCCTTACAATACGTCAACATACCCTACTCCGCCAAGACCCACCAGCGCTGCCCGCGCTCCGTTTCCCGCGCACTTGTCGCGTATCCACGCGAGAATATCGGGTCGGTCGACATAGTCTGGATCTGGCGCAAATGGCACCATGGAGAAAGGTTCGAGCTGGCGACGAGATGCTGGCAGAGTGTTATCCGCTCGATCAGGCCCAACGTTGAAGTTCATCGTCCCACCAGGTCCACAGTGTGGAGCCAGGATAGCGATATGAGGTTCCACAGGCCCGTGGAACGTGCTGGCCATAGTGAGGTTGAAATGTGACTTGGTAAAACTTTGGGGTCGGAGAGAGGAAAGGAGAGGAATCAGAGACGACTCGCAGCTAGGTTGCCTGGATAGGAATGTGCCAAGCGAGTATCAGTCTCAGCCTTGTGCACTTCCAAGTTCTGCAATGCCCAGTGTCTCCTGCTTCTGTTCTATGTATCTTTGTGCTGACTATCAAATTTTGGTTCATTCAACATGCGTCTTCTACGACGCAACGATGATGGCAGATACATCCTACAAGAATTTATGGGCGAGACCATTCCTCGTTACGCCATATTGTCTCACACGTGGGGGCTAGATCATGATGAAGTCACCTTCGCAGATCTCAACAAAGACACAAACACATACACTTCCAAGCCGGGTTACAAGAAGTTACAGTTCTGTGCAGACCAGGCGGCCAAAAATGGTCTCTGCTATTTCTGGGTAGACACCTGCTGCATCGACAAATGGAGCAGTGCAGAGCTCTCCGAAGCGATCAACTCCATGTTCGCCTGGTATCGCGATGCTGCTAGATGCTACGTCTATCTTTCTGACGTTCCAGCCGGTACACCAATCAGTGGATCATCAGACCAACAAGAATGGTACCCTGCTTTCCAGCAAAGCAGATGGATGACAAGAGGGTGGACTCTCCAAGAGCTATTAGCTCCCACATCGGTTGAATTCTTCTCGGTCGAAGGCCAGCGACTTGGTAACAAATACTCGCTTTTGCAGGAACTTCACAGCATCACTGGAATAAGCATCGAAGCTCTTCAAGGGAGTCCGTTGGACGGATTCAGCGTTGAAGAGCGCCTATCTTGGGTGGGACAACGCCAGACGAAGCGCGAAGAAGACATGGCATACGCTCTACTGGGTATACTTGATATAAATATGCCAGCTATATACGGGGAAGGTCGGAAGAAGGCCTTTGCCCGACTGCGCAGGGAGATGGGCTTATCCGCAAATGGAGGGCCTTTGGAGACACCTCAGAGCGATACCCCAAAAGACCAAAACCAAGCCTTGCTGACGTACAATGGACCCGTATTCAATGGAACTATATCGGGGAATTACGTGGTAGCAGGAACTAGTGTCACAGGCGGTGTAGTCAATTTTAACTTGGGCGACGAACGAAATGTTCGCCGTTAGCATGCGCAATAAAAGGGCTTGGTTTGGTGATAAGAGAAAATCAAGTGTAGGGGCTAGAAATACTACCAGCACGCGTTGCAAAAAAAAAAAACTGGTATTCGCGTTTGTAGCAGGAAGAGTACTGGAGGGTCATTAGGCCTGCTGCGTTGTTCTCTGAGCAAAGACAATAAAGAAGTTATTTGAGCCAGATAGGCTTCCAATCCGGGTTCGCTCTGCCTCTTATACTCTCAACGTTCATGATACCATGGACATAGACCTCGCAAACAATTGTATATTCCCTTCTGACTGGAAACAGCTTCAGTAAGAAAGGCGTCGTCGCATCCTCCAAGATCCACACTTCATCGGCGGGCCGTGGCACACATGTAACGATTCCAAAATAGCAGTTCATAGTTCTGAAGAAATTTCGGTTGCCTAGCCCGATAATGCGTTTGTATCGTCCGACTAGGGTGTTGTTGGGTTGGGAAACATTGGCCTGGTCTAAGTCTTCGGCTGATGGTACTGTTTGAAGCGCCGCCTCATTCATAGAAGCTTGCCGCAATGCATCCAGGTGCCCCAAAGTCTCCTCATAGGCGTCAACAGTGGTAGTATTGGAGCTATGATCTCTTACTGTCATGAGGCACCACGTCAGCCAGGCACGAAACTCATCTCCAGTACTTTCCAACGCTGGATATCGCCCATACACATCCACGTCGTCGATGATAGTGCGCCATATTGCTTCAAAATTGGGTTAGCCGTTGTTGTATATGGCTGGAGACTCTTTACAGATCCTCAACATCGGTCGTATCACTGCGGCGGCTTCGACAGGGCCTACTGTTGGGATTAAAGCGAACATGTCCTCCAAGAGACTGTCCACTTTGATACTCCTAACTCCGAAAGCAAGATCTTCGTCACGAAACTGACGATGAGTTTGATATTCATGAGTTTGTCGTGTCTGCGCCAGTGAGGTATTGTAGGGGCGATGCAGCCCCGGTGCAATAATGCAATAGGACACATGCCTCGCGCGCTGAAGTCAGGAACTCAAGTCCTTTTGAGAGGCTCCATTCTCTGCGTCCCTTATTGGCAAGGCCGACCGCATAATTATAATAAGACGAGATATGGGAGGTTCAGCAGCAGATGACGAGCTCCCGCGGCAAAGGATGTAAATTCGTCTTGGCCATAGTCGACATTGTACAAAATTCGTGTAGCGTTGGTAAGAAACTTAACAATGCCTAGCGGGACGAAGGTGAAGTCTCTTGGGTTCGCTGCTTGCTTTCATCGAGTACGTATGACCATCAAGATAATCAATGATTCAGGCGACACTGCACCGCATCCTGTGACTAGCAATTTTCGATCATCGACCGATAGCTTCCCGTCAATAATTGATTATTTAGATTTGCGGCCTGGCTTGAGTGCGTATTGAGTTTTCACATTGAGTAATGTTTGCTCGCTCTGCAATAGATTAATGGGCTCAGTGCTGTACGCAGTTGCTAGAGGTGAGTACACCGCAACGTCGAGTGGCTAGAGGCTGTGAGTGGCATGAGGCGGAAATACGGCTGTATTACTCGGTGAGTATAGGAGTAATCAATGAAGAAAGGCGTTAGGCTGCTATGCCTGTCGACGAGAAACATCTCGTAGTCGCGTTTGCTTCGATAATATTTAGATCATTCAAGCAGGTTAGAGCAGAACTGCTGCTTGCGCCGTCTGTCCTTGGTCAGAGCTCCCTTCTTTTTTAGGTGTATCGGCAACCCAATTAAGCATCCGTCATCTGTTGATTGGCTGAGAGCAGCCGAGGCTCCCAGCTAGGTACGCGGCCGTACTCATGACTCCGCACGGCAGCTGACATCCGCTTCTATGTTCCCTTTGTGTCGATACGCAATTGCAAGAAGCGACAAGTTGGTATCACATTGGCGCTGCTGAAGAAGCATGCAGTTGCTAATTTACAGGCATAATATATATGTATGAGACAGCCTATTACAACAGTAATGAACATGTTATCACTCAACAAAGAAACAGTGATGTATCAATGTGATGAAAGCTGAACTCCAAAGCATCAAAAAAACCTCTGGTGGGTGGTAGAGGAAAATGCAGGAACATTCACCGCTATCATGAATTGCGACATTTTTTAGAAGTCCACACTGAACTGTGTGGCATTTTATATTGCAATCAATATCAACTAACTAGTTGTAACTGTGTAACTAACTACTGTAGTTATTTAGCAAACGTATTACTAAGTTTGCAAGGATTTGCAAGCAGCTTCTTGTGAAAGCGACTAAAAGACACCGCCGAAGATCCGTCCGGTAAATAATTATCCCATATATCGGAAATCTCTTCTGGACTGTAGCCCCACTACGTTTGTTAAAACCGCTGCTGTATAATTCACCCTTTGAATTGATTTCTGTCTTAAGGCTTCACCCTAGGCTTCTGCTATACCTCTATCTCATAGAAAGGGTTCAACTTTATTCCTGATGAGACCTACCATTGACCGGTACGTTAAAGATACCTCAACACCCTAGAATGCAGATTGATTGCTGACAACCATTGCTGGTATAGCACCCCGCTTGTCAAAACACAAGGAGGCAGAGTCTTGAACTGTAATTTACATGATTCACCTGTTACTAGTTCGAGGAAGCTCTGGTCATGCAGGTACACTCTCATGACAAAAAAGGAATTTAGCCTAACAAAATCTGTCATAGGCTTGTGTTTCGCCTTACCACTCGTATCCGTACTTATATACGCCTACCAGCCGTTAGCACATGATGCCACTCGCGAGTTTTATAGATTGCCCTACTACAATGCCGTTGGAGGAACGTATACCCAGGGCTGGGGAGATCTTCGATTTGTTCTGTTTGGTAGTGTTCTCTTCACTGTTTTGAGAGCGGTTACAATGAGGTATCTGCTTAAGCCGCTAGCGCGTTTAGGCGGTGTCGAAACGAAGAAGATAGCTCGCTTTGCTGAGCAGGGCTGGTTAATGATACATCACTCCTCATTTTGGATAACAGGCATGGTAAGACAGTTCCCGTTAACAAAATTTTGAGGATGACTGACCACGGTATCCATGCGGTGGCTGTAAGAATCGGTCAGGGCTATGCTAACGACAACAACCTACGAGTACAGTACATCAACTACAATTCAGTATACTGGATGAATTTATACGAGTTATGGACGAACTTTCCAACGCGCGAAATGACCGGTCTAATGAAGAGCTACTACCTCCTTCAACTAGCGTTTTGGTTGCAGCAGATTTTTGTTCTAAATTTTGAAAAGAGGCGAAAAGACTATTTGCAGATGCTCACTCACCATGTTATCACAAGCGTACTCCTCGCAACAAGTTATACCTACTATCAAACCAAAGTTGGAAACGTGATTTTGTGCCTGGTGGATGTGGTGGATGCGCTTTTTGCGGTAAGTGATAGCGTGGATTATATGGTTGGGTGCTGCTGATTGTTTTGAATTCTCATGTACAGGCTGCCAAGCTTCTCAAGTATCTAGGTTTTCAGACCGCTTGCGACGTTGCCTTTGGCATCTTTATTGTCAGTTGGATTGCTAAGCGTCATGTTTTTTATATCATGGTGTGCTGGTCTACATATACCCATCTCACCACAGTAATGCCTTACGGATGCTACGACTCCATCTCTGGAAATCTGCTTCCCGACTCTATCCGGACTCCTCGCAACGGCGGGGATAGGATATTTCGCGAGATTTTGCAGTCTTTGCGCGACCCTGGTGGTCCAATTTGTTTCAACTCCTCCATCCGGTCCGTTTTCCTTGGATTACTTGGAGGCCTTCAGCTGCTTATGCTAGTATGGTTATGGATGATTCTTAAGGTTGCGAAAATGGTGTTTGATGGCCAAGGGGCTGATGATACCCGCAGTGACGATGAAGAAAGCGCGTCGGAAGAACTTGATGGGAAAGATAGCTGCAATATTGCTCAGCGTAGTACAGTCAGTGGCAGCCTGGTGTTTCCATCGTCTAATGAGAGCATTGGAACTCGGAGTCTACACTCGGAAGATTCGAAAAGAAACGCATATGAGACGCTCCACAAACGAAATATACTACGTCAACATTGATTGTGTTATGGGGTAGGTTATATACCTACCCTATCTTAGCTTAGTAAGAGAACGGACAGTATAAGCAGACACTAGACCTTCGCTACTTCATATAGACCTAAGCAATACAATAACTCTTGGCTCTTAACAGTATCCTGAAAGGCCCAGTCCATAACAGATTGTTTCGATAAAGACACAACAGGGCTGAGTCATGTATCGTAAAATACATGACTATATACTTCATTAGTTTACATCTCTGTACATGAGGGAGAAACAATAAATTCTGATTCCAAGAATACATAAAGGAACCAAGTCGCTGTCGAATACATGAGAGACTATGGGATACACGGATGTAATAGTATTAGCAAATATCCTGCCTCAAGATGAAGAGTATGTAAGTGCATTCACTATAGGGCTAGCATCATGGTAGAACTCATAGAGTTGACATTGAAGATTAGGCAGCTGTACAAGATGATCTCAAATCTATGGAGCCTTCATATCTAGATACGCATCGCCTTTCTGGTTCACCCCTGCCTCCCCAAATCGTGTCTTCAGTGCGTCTATTGTGAGTCTACCCAAGCCTTCGATAGTACGAGCGTCGAGGATCTCTAAGGTACTGAACTCTAAACCACCAAAACTGCGCTTGATCCAGTTACGCAGCTCTATGGTGACCAACGAGTCCACGCCCAAGGATGTCAGCGATGCAGTCAAGTCCATGTCCTCGAGCGGGTGAAGCATAAAAGTATAAACGCGAGTGCCGATGACGCGCGTCACAAAATCTACCGAAGCCTGCTCATCCAGGATACTCGGTCCTGCATCAGCTGAAGCCATGAAGAGACGAAGGGCTTCAGTATCGTTGTCCTCTGCACCACCGCCCGTGCCACTTGACGCGTTGTGATTGTGATACAGGCCCATGCGAGAGTCCTTTTTCCAGATGACACGGTTAGCGGGGTCCAGCAATGGCTTCTCACATCGCAAGCCAATGGTGAGCTGATGGTTCAAATGATCTGGCTTGCCCGCACTCGGAGTCAGAGCCCAATTGATTCCTTCCAGCAATTGGCGGGTACGCAGAAAGAATCCACCAGCGGCCCTGAGTGCTTCAGCCCTTGTCGGATTTTGAGCGAGATAACCAATGTCCTCCATCAGACCAACATGAAGTACTGAAGCGGGCAGACCGAGCGCTTGACGATGCTGAGTGAACGCAGTAAGGTATGTGTTACCGGCAGCATAATTTGCTTGGCCAGGCATACCGAATGAGCCGCTGATAGATCCAGTGGCGAAGAAAAAATCGAGGTCTTGTGGTGCGGCGCGGTGAAGATTCCACGTGCCCTCTACTTTGGCCTTGACCGTTGTTTGCCAGTCCTCCAGATCCATATCCGCAAAGGCCTTGTCGCGAAGTACCATGGACATTTGTAGAATGCCCCGAATGGGCTTTCCTGGAAGTGCAGACGCCATTGCGCGCTCAACATCGGCTATATCTGTTACGTCGCCTTGGACAGCCTGTGCTGTGCAGCCTTGACATTGCAACTCCTGGAAAAAAGCTTGGTCGTTGGTACTTTGACCAGCAGAACGCGAAAGGAACATAAGGTGACGTGCCCCTCTTTCTACCATCCACGTTGCAACAGCGCGTCCCAAACCACCCAGTCCGCCTACGAGCATGTAGGTAGCCGATGGACTGAGCTCAACGTGCGGTGTCTGTGGTGTCTTCGGTAGGCCCATGCCTTTCTCTGGAATTGACACCACAACCTTGCCAAGGTGCGTACCTTTCTGCATATACCGAAAACTCGCCTCGACCTCAGTCGCATCGAAGATTTTGATGGGCTCTATAGGTCTGATTGACCCTGTTGTGAGCATTTTTACCGTTCGCTGTAACAACCTGCGAGGAGAAGATGGCCAATTAGTATCCAGTACATTCTAGCCAAGATACTGAGTAGAGGAAGTATAACTTACCCTTGGCATCTCGTCGCATCAAATCGAGCTAGATCAATGCCGATAAAACTCCTATTTGCTTCAAAGAGATCCATTTCTAGGCGGGCCTTCCCAATGAAGTCTCTTTTGCCAATCTCAAGCATCTTTCCATAGGGGGCAACGCATTGCCATGAAGCATGGAGTAGCTCACCAGAGAGACTGTTAAGCACAAGGTCAACTCCCCGACCCTTTGTAGCAACTTGCACATCATGCAGAAACGTTGTGTCTCGGGAATTGAAAATTTGTTCCCGTTTAAGGCCAAAATTTTGCATCAAGTACTCAATTTTGACTTCGCTTCCGACCGTGACGTATACCTATCAATTACTGAAGTTAGCTTTATGATCTTGAAGTAGTATTGCTTGATCTGATGTGACAAATAAAGACTTAAAGATCTTACCTCTAGATCTGGGATATTCTGACATATGTTAAGAGCAGCAATGCCGATGCCACCACATGCCGAATGAATCAAAATCGACATGCCGGACTTTAATCCACCCATATCAAGCAAAGAGTGGATCACAGTAGCGTAAACACACGGCATCGTCGCAGCCTGCTCGAATGGTAGCGAAGAAGGGATCTTGGCACATCGCTCGGCCAATACAGTTAGTTCAGTTGAGAAGCATTTGTCTGCAAGATAGAAAACACGGTCTCCTGGCTGAAGCCCAGTGACACCGCTTCCGACCTTCGTGACTATGCCAGATCCTTCCAGGCCGATGTTGACATTGTTTGCCTCTACAATACCCATGCAGAGGAGTACATCCTACAGGCTATTAACACAGAAAGTTCACAATATTTTCCAAAGATTAAGATTTTTTGAGAGATGGGGTATACAAGGGGAGAGACCTACCCTGAAATTCAAGCCCACACACCGAGGCTCGACGACGATCTCATTGTGTGCCGGTTTCTGTGCTGTAAGGTCGACCCACTTGAGTGACTGCAGTAGTCCTGGGCGTCCTATTTGAAGTGTCACGGCTCCAGACTTCTGTGATTTGAGTGCCAACTCTTGAGATAGAGTGACGGGATGGTACCTGCCCACTTCGAGAGCTCCTTTGGTGAAGAAAAACTCCCGGTCTGGGTCTATGCCTGAAGTTCCCTTCAAACCACTACAGCTTTGCCCCCTTTTGTGTGCAAGTTTTCCTATAAGCTTAGTAGCAGCAGCAAAGCCTGCATCGTCCATATGGTCCATTTCCAGCGTGGTAATGGCTACGGAACGCTCATTGCGCAGTGTACGTAGGAGCCCCAAGGATAGCCCAAAACTAGGGTTTCCGTCGCGATCGACGTTCCTTTGTGCTGGTGGCATGATCCAGAGCATTGGCGTACTGCCTAGACTTGAGACAATTGCTTGCAAAGCTGTTAGATTGGCTTCCGATATGGACTCGAGGAACGGCTTCCTGATATCGAGCAATGAGACCAACAGTTCTTGGTCATCTGATTTAATCTCCTGATTTCGCTCTATGCTCCTCAGGATTGTTCGGAAGCCCTTCTCTTCAATCGAAGAACGCAGCCGTACGACGCGCTCACAATCCTCATCGCATGGACGATACAATAAGGTCACCCGTGGACGATTATTGTCTCGACCTACCTCGTTTATGTCCGAATCATCAATGATATTATGAACTTGCGAGCTTCTCGCAGGTCGGGAAATGATATTGGCGTTGATGTGGTAAGGACTCGGCGCATCGTATATGGCAGCATCGGTGCCTGAAAAGCCAGGTTGCTTCAGGACTGCGTCCCATTTTTCTGGCGTCAGATAAGGCTCTATGGATCTGCCTTCTCCGGCTCCAAGCCACCATCCTGGCAAGATGCCCATGATGCTAGATTTCGAACACGTCGTTAGTAACACTGATAGCACTAATTGTATCAAAAAGAGCACATGATGCTGGAAATGCCACCACAAGGCCGTTTTTAGAAGTTTTTAACGAGCGATAAACTTACAAATTAACCATTTGCATCTTTGGGGATAGTTCCTGAAGGAAGAGGTAGCCCTCAGGAGCGAGCAGCTTGCGCACATTTGCTAGTGTCTCACCCAGCGATGGAGTGGCGTGAAGAACATTGCCGGCGATGATCAAATCGAACGATGCCGCCTCGAATCCTTGCTCGATGGGGTCCTTGGTGATATCGAGAACCCGAAAATCCAGAGCGGGATACGCCTTGAACCGTTCACGGGCATTGACGAAAAATCCAGCAGAAATATCGGTATAAGCATAGGTAGAGTAGAGTCGATCGACTCCGTTTTTACTCATTAAACCCTCAAGGATAACATGAGTGCTACCCCCTGTACCAGCGCCAATTTCAAGGACACGAAGCGTCGGTCGTGTATGGCCAGCAGCGACGAAGAAATCCACGGAATCAGTGCGTGACTCTACGTAGTTGTAATAATCCGTTAGACCATTGTCTGCTTGTAGCACTTCAATGCCGTCAATAGAGCCTCGCAAGAGATCTTCACAACGGTCAATGATACGGCCAATCAGAACTGCCGCACTAGCGGCCCCTGATTTCATGATCTCCTGTCGCAATTCTACTAGAAGTGAGAGCCGAGCACTAGGCTCCAAAGATATGATCTTCTGGGCTTCAGGTTGAAGTTTAGAGTGGTCTTCAATCAGCCGGGCTGCCTGGTTATGGATCCAGTTGCGGAACATGCTTATGTGTTCAAGATGTGGGGGTGAAGGAATGCTTTCCATGCGCTCTTTGACAACAAAGATGGAGAGAAGAGTTAACTTTTCCACAAGATCGAGGTCGTGATTGTCGTTTACCAACGCTTGGTTTGGTCGAATCAGACTCTCCATATCGGCAAGATCAAGATGTGACTTCCAAGTGAGTTGGGCCGCCGCGATGGATTCAGAATTGCTGTCATTCTGCTCAGTAGATTCAATAGGAGAGAACTTTCCACCCTCTAACTGCAGCAAGACAGCTCCATTTTTCTTGGAAAATACCTTTGCGTTTCCGGAGATTGTTCCCCCCGAGGTTGATGAGGATGATGCTTCGATCTGGGATCCCTCAACCTCCGTTGCCTTGCCATTTGCTAAGTATAGATTACCAATGACTGTTGGTACACATAGTTTTTCAGCACGATAAAAGACACCATCGCAACTAGCGGGAAAGAACAATTGGAGGCAATGATCAATCGTAGCGGGATGGATCGCATACGACGATTCTGAGGTGGCCATCTTGCTCAATGTAGCCATGGCTCTCTTGCCATTTGGCTGACATTTAACATCTTCGAGTCCACGGAAGTAGGGTCCATATCTTAGGCCAAGCCTATGAAGCTGGGGATACAAGTCGTTTACAGCGCGTGGATAGGCTTCATTATTAGTCGTTGACAAGTGCTGGGATGTTGCTTCCTTAAACTTATCCGCGTCGCGATTCGTCCTGACCTGGCCATCACAATGCTTCATCCAGTTTGAGCCATTGTGTGACATGATGCTAAACTCCCACCAATTTGAGTCAAGCGTGTTGGTAAGTCGTACAGGTCGCAGGGTTGTTATCAATTCGATTGGCTTGGAATCGGTCATCACCAATGCAGACCGTACGATGACATTCCTTAGGGTAAATCCGTCGACTTCAGTACTCTCAGTCGCTTGGCGAACAGCCTCAACAGCCATGGAAAGGTAACCTGCACAGGGGAAAATCACGTCGTTGAGGACCTGGTGATCGCGTAGCCAGGGTACCGCTTCAAGTTTTAGGACATTTCGCCATTCAGGCTGAAGCTTGCTACTCTCAAGAGTCTTGGAGCCTAGAAGTTCATGCTGAGGGTACTTGCGGAACCTCCACTCTTTACTTATGCGGCTCTCGGCCCAAAATTCTTTCTCGTGGTTCCATGGATACAGTGGCAGGTCCGTCACCACATTCCCCACAGGCGAGATACGGGACAAGTTTATAGGTACACCCTGGATGAACAATTCTCCAGCAAGTTTGAGTACTGACTCTACGGAGTCTTTTCCACGAGTCAATGCCGTTGCGTATGCTTGCTGGCCAGTGCCGTGAGCCTTGAATATCTGACGAAGAGGCCCCGCTAGAGCGCTGTGTGGGCCAATTTCAATGAAAACGCCCCTGGAAGACGACTGGGTTTCGAGAAGTAGCCTCACCGCGTCGGTAAAAAGCACTGGGCTTTCGAGATTCTCGCGCCAGTATGCAGCATTGAGAGATCCAGGTTCTTGAAGCTGTTTACTCTTCACACTGGAAAAGAATGGGATCACAGGAACCTTGCTGTGTAGCTTGCCGTTTAATAGACTTTCAAAGCTATCTCCCAGATCGCGCATGTGATCTGTAAGGAACTCATTGTTAGATATGTGTGCATTGATAACCCACCTGCGAGAGAAAAGCACATTGGAGACTGAAATGAGGGTTAATGACTTACGGGAATGATATGCTACTGGAACCTTCAGCAGGCGCACCAAAGCATCTGGCTCCTTCTCTTGTATCTCTTTGCATACGTCTTGGAGAACATCCTTGTCTCCAGAGATCGTGATGCTCTGTGGGCTGTTGTCGCATGCGACAACCACCCCGTCAGCTAGATATGGAATGACGTGCTGCGCTCCCAAACCAACTGCGGCCATACCTCCGGATCTTTTATTGTATTTGTTCACATATCCGCGGTAATATGCAATGGTGATAGCCTCGGCGGAAGTAATGGCACCTGCAGCATATGCAGCCGCTATCTCACCGCTAGAATGGCCGACAACAGCGGTCGGCAGGAGGCCCCAGTCTCGCAACAGGTCAACTAAAGCTAACTGAACAGCACAAACAAGTGGCTGTGAGAATTCAGCTTCACCTATTCTGCTGGTAGCCTCTGGCTTTCTCAGCTCCTCTGCAAGATCCCAAGTTGGACTATGCTCAAGCTGTGACAAAACACGACCTAAATTACTAATGGTGTCGCGAAAGATGGAGTAGTCTTGTAGAAGCTCACTTGCCATCCCAGCCCACTGGGCTCCCTGGCCAGTGAAAACCATGTTCACATCCGCTTTAGCGTTTGCTACCTTGGCTGGAGAAGAAAACTCGAGCGCTGGTTGGCTCTCGCCTTCCAGCGAGATGGTAGAAAGAACACTATACGCACGATGAGACAAGTGCTCCCTCCGGTTGCAAAGCGTGTACGAAACGTCTAGTTGGTTCTTTTTGTTCTGTTGCTGGTATTTCTGGTGTTCAAGTACCATTGCCTTTAGAGAAGCAGGACTAGCCGCAGATATCGTATAAAGTACTTTTCTTGGCGTGTGCAATCCATGACCAGTGGCATCAGATAATTCAGATTCCTTGATTGATTTAAGGCCGTTAGAGTCGTCGATAAAGAATTTGCTTGCCAACTTGTACGGTAAGTCGATGTGACCTTCCTTGACGTCTAACGCTTTGGCTCCATGAACCCCGTTTGTGAATCTAGTCCCGTCCGAGACGTTGTTGAGTTTTCTATTATCGAACCTCTTAGTTTTCGTTATGCCCAAATATGGATTGCTCATGCGTTTTTGAACGGCATTATCGCTGAAGAACTGGTCGATACTCTCTATAATGCAGTGTGCATTTGCACCTCCAATGCCGAAAGAGTTAACACTGGCACGAAGAGGTTGGTTTTCTGGCCAAGGAAGAACCTCGCAGGGAACTACCATGTTGGCTTCATTAAACGGGATCTTGGGATTCGGTATCGAAAAATTGATGTTGGGAGGAATTTTCCGATTCTCCAGGGCCAGTACCACTTTGAGAACAGAGGATATACCCGAGGCTCCCTCACTATGGCCTAGGTTTGGCTTGACGCTTCCCAAATAGAATGGTCGTTCTTTCCTCCCTCCGAATACACGTGAGATGGCGATCGCTTCCAGCGGATCGCCTACTGGAGTTCCCGTTCCGTGAGCTTCAACAAAAACCGTATCCTTAGGGTTCAAGCCCGCTTCATGATATGCGTGCTGTATTAGAGTCATGTGGCTTTCTGAACTAGGCATAGACATTCCCGGGGTCTTGCCATCTGAGTTCGAAGATGTTGCTCGGACAACAGCACGAATGGGATCTCCATCCCTAAGTGCGCTACTCAGGCCTTTTAGGAAAATAGCATTGATAGCCTCACCCCTAGCATATCCATTTGCATTGGCATCGAAACTTTTACAAGAGGCATCTGGAGATAGCACACCTTGCTCTGTCATGGCCATTGACATAGTCGGCGAGAAGATAAGATTCGTGCCAGCGACGATGGCTCCATCACAGTCTCCAGCCCGGATGGCTCGCACAGCTTCGTGAAGCGCAATCAATGATGATGAGCAGCCGGCTTTGATAGTGTACGATGGGCCTTTGAGATTGTATTCATAACTAATGCGATTGGAAATCGCAAAGTCGTGACTACCTGATACCCGATATGTGCCCGAGTCAAACAAATCTTTAGCGTGAAGGTCGAGCCAGTCCTGTAATTCATGCAAATGTTAGACCCTAAACTAGCAAGGGTAGATATGTAAAGTGCTGAACAAAAATGGCGACTTACTTCTCCCCAAACGCCAACGTAACATCCAATATTACTACCCTGCCAGTTGACCTGACCCGATGATTCCATACACTCGTAGACGACTTCGAGCAACATTCGCTGTTGCGGATCAATATCGTTCACTTCGGTAATTCCCATAGAAAAGAGTGATGTATCAAGGCGATGAAGATCGTCAAACTCATCTAAGAAGTGTCCATGTCGCATAGCTACTGAACCTGGTTTGGCTGATGGACTATGAAATCCGTCTACCGAGAACCTTGAAGCTGGAATTTCGCATCGTGTTGAGCGTTTCTGAACTATAGTCTTCCATAATTGTTCGGCAGTGTGAATAGCTCCTGGCAATCTCATACCCAGACCGACGATAGCTACCGGTGGAACCTGGCTCTGACAATTGTCGTCCGTGTCGATTATCGTATTGCTCGCTGTGTTCTCAGCTGATCCACTTTCTTCGAGAGTGGTGATAATGGCCATGTTGTGTATATGTCCCAAGAAGTATCGGTTAATCGTTTCTGTAATCTGTGATTTGAAAGATAGGAGAGCTGACGTATATAAAAGAGTAGTATATCGTGCAACGGCTTCAGTCAAGAAGGCGACACAAGAAGAAATGTATCTAAGGCTTAGCAATGAATCTCGCTCTTGTTCAAAGTCTTTCTTTAGCCGTTGGTGGCCCCAATTAACACTTCAACCGCAAAATCTAAGCATGGTCGTAATTTCCCGGGTTACTACCTCAGGAGAGACGTGCCAGTCCAAAACCTGTAAGCTGCCAACAACTATCCGAAGACGAAAAGAGATAAACCGGTATCTCCTCTAAGTATCACGGATACTGTTTCGGAACACGCTAATGGCTTTTGTTGATTCCTCCATACCTATGCACTTCGGTTACTGTTTGCTTCTGAGGCAAGCTGCAACTTCCCTGTTTGTAGATCTCCGTCACATACATGGATACTTGACCGGCTATTGCAGATTTTCAAGATCTGCTAGCGTATAAGAAGATGTACTGGGAAAAGGTTGGTCCTAGTGTTTAGGACTTGTGGTGATTCCGTCATTCGCCAAGCATTGCGGTTGCCGAAAACAGTTGTTCCGAGACACATCCGCGTTACTATCGGCTCTAGACTAACCGAAATTATTCATGGAGCCGGAAACCCCAACAACGATGAGATCAACTGCAGACATATATCAGGGTACTAGTAAGCGCATCTGGTCATAAGTATTCAAGTATTGATACACTATACCTTTGTCCCACGTTACGTAATCGGACTATACTACCAATACCACGCTACGCGCCTATTCTTAATACAATGGCATCTATTGAAGAGATAAGGAGGATCTGGGGTGATGTTCTCGGCATTGATCCTGATGGAATTGGTTTGGATGAGAATTTTATAGACTGTATGGGTTTTCACTGTATTCAAGCAGCGGTAAAAATCTGCTAACCCGTGTGTTATTTTAGTGGGGGGTGATTCCGTAAGAATGATTGTACGTTAAACAATACAAGAAGCTCATTGGTTCAGGTGAAAGCCCTACAGCTTCTTGGCGAGATAGCATCCCACAATGTCGAAGTTGATCTAGAAACCTTCACAAACAGTAAGCTACTACAATTCTGCGCGCTATCATTTATATCCTTCGTAAAAACTCTAAGGAGCTGACATTGATTTATTGCGAAAAAGCTGGAACTATTCAGACCCTCTGGAATGCTTTACATAGCCGGACCGGAAATGTACATAACACGAATGGACGCGGCTATAACGGAAATAAAGAATCAAGCGTATCACAAGCATCTCCTTCTGGTACAAACACCAAACTCGAAATAGACTACGACGATTCAGCCTGGAAGCAAGTAGAACTTGTTCAAGATAGTGTCCTCTCCACGGCTCCAGTCAGTCCAGTACAAGGTAGTAAATCTTTGATATCACTCACGAACTATGCAATCCCCATTCCTCCGCTTGAGCGATCCAATTAACAAAAAAATAAGTTCTAATTTACTGTAAATTAGGTTTTTTCTTAGAACTAGGATTGGCTGGGTACATTGGTCTCATCAACTACATCTTCGAAGTGGAGGGCTCGGATCTGAAACATGGCTTGACAACCCTCGTAAATCTTCTAGAATCTAAGAATCCCATCTTTCGTACGGTTATTGCGGCTACGAAAGATGGGAGCTTCGCACAAGTTTTGACTGCGAAGAGTACTTCATCATGGTTTTTTTCCTCCGACCTTGGCACCTACTTAGAGAAAACCATGGCCCAGAAGTTTGAGCTGGCAAAGCCAGCTGTACAATACGCTTTGGTCGTCGGGGACCCTGCCCATAAAGGAAGCAGCTTCTTTGTTATCTCATTACATCACACTCACTGCGATGCATTCTCCCGATTTCTCATCAGCAAGGAGATATCACAGATCCTAGAGTCGCCATCATGTTACGCACAAGATGGAAACCCTAAACGCCCATGGTTTGGCGATTACGTCAAGGACGTCCAGCTAAAAGCCACGAACGATAATGCCACCCTGTTTTGGAATACTTACCTGCGCGGCGCAAACTTACCCAACATTCATCCTCCTGATAAAGCGACAATCAACGGCGAGTTGGATGGTGCTATCATCGAAAGAATCCAAGCATCTGCCACCCCGGGCATTGCGAACAGCCACTCTAGAAATCCAACACAAATAATTCTTGCAGCATGGGCTATGGCTTTAGCAAAACTATCGGGGCTTCGAGATATCACGTTTGGGCTCTGCCGTCACGGTAGATCATCTGGCTCTTTCATGGATGTGAGACGTGTAATGGGCCCTTTGGTGAATGCGCTACCTTTCCGCGTTTCTCTTACCTCCAATGAGGAATCAGTTCCTGAACTGCTGCAGAGGATCCAGACCGATATCACAACCACAAACAAATGGGAACATGGATTCTCCCCGAGCATTTTTCCAAGTGCTGACGGAAATCCATGGGTACAGTCACTCGTTGACTTGAAGTCAGAGCTGCATGGAATGAGGAATGGTCTTTCAGCGAAAGATGATCAATCGGCTATAAGCAAGATGACTCCAAGGCCAGATTTAGATATCTATGATATGAAGAGTCATTGGGCAGTTTTGCTATCTATCAAGCAACAGAAGAATGCATTCCAGGTCTCGATGTACTACCAGAAACCTCTCCTCGACGACGAAAAGGCAGGGGTCTTGTTTAACCATTTCCGCGATAGCATTCAAGCTTTATCTACCGCAGATGATAGTGTAGGCAAATTATTGGAATAGTCAAGAAATTATGAAAATTGCATGTATAGTTGCTTGCTATGGGACTGTCTTAATATGATTTGAAAAGCAGGTTTCCAGAATCTCAGGTGTGTGATCGGGTTGTTCTGGACAAAAGAGTGCATTCGGTTGGCCGTCTTTGTGCTTAGGTAGTACATTTTACAATCGAGCCAGAGATATCTGCTAAGCCTTTACCTATACACGCTATTCAAGCCTGGAACTGCACTGCGTTCTCGATAGCCGTATCCTATTTTCTATAGCCGCACCACTAACCATTTTCAGACAGCCGTGGGTCTACTCATGTAATCTACCGTAATGTCGGATAACTGACTTGAAAAGGATTCTTCGTCAAACGAAGAAGTAACTACCTATTATTGAGGCATTTATAATGAGAGTGTTGGTTTGGCTGGTGTCTTGAATACAAACAACCAGTGCAGTAGGAGTATCATTGCTCTATTATCATCTATCCCCTCATCCTTGTTTATCGCTACCCGCTTGCGTTCTACTGAGAGATACAGTATGCAAGGGTACCAAGAACACCATTCCCATCCTTCATATCTACGAAAACGAAAACCCCACATATCTGATAGCCTGCCTTTTCACAAAGCTTGTGCTTATCACGCGGATGTATTTGGGTCATTGCGCACCTACATTGTCGTCTCCAAGTCGATTAGTACAACTCCAGCCCTTGAAGCTCTCCGATCTGCTTTAGGCGCTACCAAGATCGCTGGGATCCGATACGGCATCACATCTCATTCACCTTGGGAAGATGTGTTCGAACTGACGGAAGCCATACAAGCTGCGGACGCGGATCTTATTATTACTTTAGGTGGTTGTTCTATAACAGACGCCGTCAAGCTCGCAAGGCTCTTCGTTCCCAATAACGTGTCAACAGTGTCGGGTGCAGAGAAATTATTCGCAAAGATAAGGGCGGGAGAGTTTGTGGAGCCCGCGGCGATCCCCGTCATTAACGTACCAACAACGCTTTCTGGGAGTGAATTCACATGTGCTGGCGGTGCGACAGATTCAAATACCGGTCATAAGCTGGTAACGATGCATAAGTCCATGTATGCCGACGTTGTTATTCTTGACCCGAGGTTATCATTTGGTACTCCGCGGAAAGTGTGGCTATCCACTGGAGTCCGAGCCATCGATCATTTCATTGAAGGCCTTTATGGTAACGCAGCTGCACTTTTCATCGACATGCACGAGGAGCTCGGCATCGAAGTCGACAAAGATATCGAGAACATCATTGTTAGAGCCCTCGGAAACCTGCTGACAAGCTTGTTGTCAATCAAGAACAACTGGGACGACGAAAAGGCGAGATTACGAGCCTTTATGTCTGTACAGGAATGTCACCGGGCAGGATTTAACGGAATAGGTGCAAGTCATGGTATTGGTCATCAGCTCGGTCCTTTGGGAGTTGGACATGGCGAAACAAGTTGTATCATTCTGCCTTGGGTTTTGCGATACAACTGGAATCATGGTAGCGAGACTCTTCGACGTCGACTTGAGCTGGCGACTGCCACATTTTGGGAACAGGAGAACGTGGCGGAATCTCTTCGTTCTGCTGGTCTTATTAGTCAAGAAGCAGAGCTATGCGATGTAGTGGGAACTTACATCAATTGTCTTGGTCTACCGAGAACTCTAGGAGAGTTCAGTATCAAGTATGAACATCTTGAGGGGCTAGCTGAAAGTGCTATGAAAGACTGGTGCACTAAAGTCAACCCGGTCCCATTGAACAAAGACAGCGTATTAGAGATACTGCATAGTGCAGCGTAAAACAAAGGACAATTGTACCCTATGATATTCAAGGAGGAAGAGAGACATTGTAATTTCGCACGGGTCTCCTAGTGGCGGGAAGATAGGTCGGAGTACGCACTTTAACACCCACCCCACCTATAGAAAATCGAGGTTTCACAACAACATGTATCTATCGTCACGAATGCGATATCAAGGAACTATTCTTTCGAACAATCGGTAGTATGTATAGTCTTACACTGCGTGGTGTTGATATTTTCTAGCTGCAAGTGTCTATATGGGTAGTTAACTGCTAAGATCTCTCCTCAATAGCAGAGAAATGATTAGTAGGATGGCAACTAATCTCTAGGCAAGGGCTGATCTTGGTGAATTCAAAGCATTGTGTCGTTTACAGCTACAGGAACAATGGGAGTGAGAAAGTTCGGATTGAACGAGACATTTAGTCCAAAGACTTTATGTGGCACGTAGTAAGCTGAGGTATAACCCACGGGTGTGCCATTGAAACACACAAAACGTGCTGGATGATATTAAAGTAGTTACTTAAGTTCGTGATAAATGCCAAATGGTGCTGTAATGTTGTTGGCTAGACTTTCTAGAAGCAACCGGCATATCTGAGTGACCAACAAACCCAGAAAGGGCACTACAGTCATCGAACATCACAGTTTACATCCCATAGGCAGCCATTCTAGGATTCAGCTGTTGCCGGATCCGACGTACACTCATTGAACAGGCTGTTCCGTAGCGGATATATAGCGCTAAATGACCTAGGCAAGACAGACCTATGGAAAACCGTCTGGATCTTCATATGGCAGTGACTGCGATTACTGTTTGGTATACTAGCATTGTTACACGCTTCCGTAGTGGTAGTATCGATCTAAAAGAACCACACTAACCAAAATTGCGTTCCGACCTTACCTTATCTGACACTATACCCTATTTGAACAGTTCCGACGGATATCAGAATGCCAAGAGGTCGACACGGCCGTTGAGTGTTTTGGAAAGCGGGTTTTCAACAGGTTGTTAAATCGTTTCTTGCATCGCGGTAGATTATTATCATACATTCGCCAGAGCCCATCGTTTTAATGCAAAATTTCCTAGTCACGCAGCTTTGTTGCCTTACTAGGCCTTGTCTTGAGAACGAAATTGGCTGTAGCCCCTACGCACCACTTCCTTCAGCAAAGCCCACGCCATCCAGATAATCACGTCGGAGTCATCGTTTCGTCAAGCACCAACACTATGAGCGTCGCTAATACAAAGCGGGCATTTTGGGTGCCCACAGACCCACCGGTTTCTTTGGCCAACAAATTCTCCTTTTATGTTTGGGTTGTAATGATTGGATTTGCCCAGTTATGGAGAGATCTCAAGACATGGACATGGTATCGCCCATTGCACTTTCAAGACATCGCGAACCATTACTTTGTGAGTAGTTTTCTTGATCCCCCAAAGTCCGGTTCTATACCAGTAGGAAGTCTCTTTCTTGTAGCCACTTTGTCCGCGTCATGAAGATCTTACTAAGCTGCATAGTACATTCCGATCGGCCGTGAAGATGTACGCATCCTTCTTAGCGCGCCCAATGATCGTGTGTTTATGAAAACGATTCCAAAGGCAATATCACAAGATTACAATGTTAAGAAAATGTTGTCTTATCCCGAACGCGAGATAGTCAACGCGGGATCTAACAACTATGGCGGTTTCACACGGTTCGAGTATAGCAGTGCATCCGTTATCAAACTAGCTCTACAGCATCTTCCATTCAATCCAGCGCCTCCAGAGCTCAGAATGCTTGTAGAGAAGGAGTTAGCTGATTACATGAATGCCAAGGCTTGTGCTACTGCAATATCTGGCTATGGGGCAAATCTGCTAGCATTTCTCACCTTCGCTGAAACAGCAAAGGAACTTGGGCGCCAATGCATTTTCCTGCTTGACGCCGAATCCCATAGCTCAATGTTCGTCGGGGCCTTCCTAAACAAGCAGGCGACCTTTCACCGGTTCAAACACAACGACGTTGCAGACCTAGAATTCAAATTGAGGACTTTGAGAGAGAATAATTCTAACGCTATGGTGTGTGTTGCTGTCGAAGGCATGTATAGGTATGTACTCCATTCTATATTCCACATAATTGGCGGTTTCGTCATATAGTGAAAAAGGGAATGTTGCTGACTTCTATTTTCACAAATAAGTCTGGCCGGGAACGTGGCTCCAGTGCCTACGATCCTCGCCCTGAGAAAGATTTTCGGATTCTGCCTCTTGGTTGACGAAGCTCACAGCTTCATGGCACTAGGTCGCGGGGGCCGCGGTTCTTTTGAGTGGTGGCAAGCGCGCGGCTACGAATGTCCTCTTGATGAAGTGGATATCATGACTGCAACATTTTCAAAGAGCGTTGGATGCACTGGCGGGTTTGTTGTGTCTAATGGTATCTATGCCACTGTTCTACAGAAGCAGTCAAGTCTCCAACACGAGACAGGCGATGAGACACTCTCTACGATCGTTTTACTGAGGGCACTGACTCTAATTCGAAAGCCTGAGTTTATAGAGAGCAGAATGTCCACGCTAGAAAAAAAATCCCGTTACGTCGCAGACCGCCTCCGCGAATCCGGATGCATAGTTCTTTCCCCGCCTGGGTCGCCCATCATCTGTTTTCCTGTTGGTAGGTACGCCCTACTGCCGTATCCTAGATTTTCTAAAAACATGGAACTAACAGTCTCTACACTGTAGGTACTATTGAGAAGGCGTCTAAATTTCACGCCGAATTACTTCAACGCGGTTTTGCAATCGCCTGCGGCGTCCCTCCGGCTACACCTATCTGGTGAGTACGATTGTTATTGCTCTCCCTGCAACTTTCAGCTCCACGGGTCTGAAATTCGTGCTGACATAGTGTATTGATAGGTCATGTCGGATCCGCGTATGTATTTTCGCCACGACTTCTTGGAGTGACATTCTCGGTTTGGTGAACGCACTTATCGCGGTCTCATGTTTGCTCAAAATTGACGGAGTACGACCCATGGGTTTCGATATTGGAAGCCTCCCCAGCGACGGCCTAAACGAGAAAATCACAGCAGGAGAGAACCATGTCGTCGATTCAGCTCTTCAAAAATATGTCCTGGACCTGGCTGAAAAGTATCCAGCGAATGAATCCAAGACTATGGCACCTCTCACTATGAGCCAGGCCCGTGACGTTTCTGAAGCCGGTTTGCAGTCTTTTGACAAGTACGGCATCGGTGCTTCTTCTGTTAGATGGTTTTATGGCACGTTTGACGTCTTCATTAAACTAGAGGACCGACTTGCGAGTCTTTATCCTTCTCTTGTTGCTTTTTCAGGAAACTGCCGAGGTACGTTCCACTTACATAACAACAGTTACTAAATATTCTGACGTTACTGTGTTATTGTCAGCAATGCTAGGATCCGATGCGAACGTTATGGCAATCTCTTTGCTTAGCGCCACAACAGCCCCTTTATATGCAAAAGATGTTCTGAATGTAGTCCTGGTTCCGCAAACTGCATCTTCATCTGTTAGAAGAGGGGCAACGCTTAACAAGGTCCAGTCTTCGACCCGTGTTATCATATACGATGACATGAAGAATCTAGCAGTACAAGTTCGCGATCTGCACAAAACCCAAGCCTTCCATCTCACACTGTACCAAGAGACAGTTTCAAGAGACGGCTATCTCTTAGATCTCTCTAACAGTATCAAGCTCATCTTATCAGCATTTCAAGACATCTCCAGTCTAAAAGGGCTGACGTTGATCCTGGACGACAGTCGAGGGCTTGGAAAGGTTGGACCTCGGCACCTTGGATTCTTAGACGAAATGGAGTCCCAACATGGAACCACGTTCTTCTCAAAAGCGCTAGGCCCACAGCTAGCAGCTGTAACGACAGTGGTCGTCTTTGGATCGTGGTTTGAATCGTTTCACCATCAGGGCGGCTATGTTATCAGTAGCCAAATGTTCACCGATTCACATACAGTCAGTTCAAAGAGCTTCGTCTTTTCAACTCCGCCGATGATTGTTCAAGCTGCTATGTCGGACAAAGTGCTTGAGCTTTTATCGCAAACAGACCCAGTGTAGAGCTTAAGTACATAGCATCTTTTATATTCTCTCTTTTACCTAGTAGATTAGTTCAGATAAATGCGAGTGAGCTTTCTGCATGTATCTAGTGCTGAAAGTCACCAACATAGAGGAAAGATTGCTCTGTTATATCTCAAGTATGTATTATGGCATGATACGTGATCGAGCTCAAAAGATCAAGGGGCGACCCGCAATCGAGGAGGTAGAGTAGAGCTGAAATCTAATGGGTAAAGAAGGGTGATCTATCTACGCTGAAAAGAAACCACGATATGTACTCATACTCTGATCACATGATGCCACACCACAATATGCAGACAGAGGAAGAAAGTCTTCTATACACATGGACATGTATCCTAATATCCTAGAAGTGTCCCATTCCTCTCTTTGCTCTTTTATATAAGCCTTCGAAAGCCCCAGTAGCTATTATAGTAACTTACACTAGTTATTACCCGCGTGTTACGTCATTGGCGTCTTAGTATCATGGCACGTAGTGGAGTGCGGCAAGCAGCGATAAGACTCGTTAAATATGGCAAATGCTACACAGGGCATGGCTATACTTTCCTAGTCTCAGTCCGAGTTAGGATGAGACGGTAATTCGCGGTATGCCGTGCGATTATCTGGCGACTCGTAATACAAAGAATTTACACATGTAACCAAAGGATAATAACAATCATTTCTATATGAGATACTTGGGCCCAACGGCTACTATAGCAGAATCTCAATGAAATCGCCCGTGTGGAGCACGGGCCTATCACCTCAACGATAACGATCACCTCAATAATAACAGTGTATTTCAATCGTAAATTGAAGTCAAATCGATAAAAAAGTAGAATCTTTACAACTTGAGAAATTCAAGATATGTTATCAAAGCATTCCCTGGTCAGATAGTATCGAATTTTGGCTATTATAGTAGCTGCTATTGTCGCTGTTGTCGCTATTGCTTTCATCGATTTTACCATCCACTAGTTATAGCTTTATAAGCTTTATTGATAGTAGTATTAGCATTAATACACGAATCTATAGAAGTAGATTCTGCGCAATCTTCTTAAGTATACTAAGTAAAGTATTCTAGGTCCTGTGGCAGCGTGGTGGATAGTAAAGCTGTAATGAGATAGTAGCTCGTGGGCTTCTTGTACGTATCCTAGATCGGCAAGTTAACGAACATTACTATACGCCACCCACATAGTAGCTAGCTTACAATTTGCTGTTACAGTACCCTCGCGATACTTCGAGCTGCTATTTTAACGTTTCCGTTCCTACCTTATTAAGGTCTTAGTGTTATAGTTGTTGTCGTTAGCACTTATATATTACCAGCGCGCAACATCGCGCTTCGTTATAATACTACTCGCTATATACTTAGCATATTATAGTGCTGTATCACGTGACTAGGTTGTAGTATATATTATAACTTTCTTTCATACGTAGATAGGCACCTTCTTCAATCAATCCCTTCACAGCGATTACTTTTTAGCTTAATTCTATCTACTCGATTGCGGGTCGCCCCTCTAATCTTTTAAGCTCGATCACGTATCGTGCCACAATATTTACGGCCGAAGTTCTATATAGTTAAGAAGATACGTCTCCATTTATTAAAACATCTATAGCCTTATAAAGTCGTTCTATAGCTATCTCTATCTTAAGATGAGTAAGATTATTAACCTAGCGCTATTCTACCATCTACCGCGCGTCTTTAGCGTATATTACGCCATCTTTGCTTCTATAACCTACTTCTTACGACTACTCCGCTCCCCCTTAGCAAGGATAGTAGTATTAGTTTTATATAGCTCAAGGAGCTACAAGAGACAGGTTGTGGAGTTTCTTCGCAGAGTCTATGCATGGGCTTGCAGCATAATCAGCCAATCAGGACGCACGTGCGCTAGCCCCCAGCCAGCGCCGTGATATTCTTTCCTTCTTATTTCTCTACCTCTATTTTCACTTCTGTTTCTTGGTTTTTTTGCCATGTTAAGGTAAAATAACATTGATGTAGTTAGCGTCGACCCTAAGTAGGGGCCCCCGCTTACCGCGCGGTTAAATAGCTTATCATCGCGTGGTCGTTCAACCTCTGCTATTAAACATAATTAGCAACTAAGGGTAGTGGCGTAATCACTCGCTTGGAACGTGCGATGTCAGTGTAATAAAGTTTCGGGTTTGACGAGCGGGGGTAACGGACATGCCTGGTTGCAGAATATCCAGATGCTTGTCTAAATACGTTATCCGAAAATTTCGGAAGTCCTCTTTGTGATACGTACCGACCTACCAAAATCTGACTAGTAATGCCGAGAGAAACTCGCCGCTCTCAACATTACATTACGTCTTCTTTATCTTACACGGCGACCCAACCAAATCTCCACTAGTCTGCCCTTTTCAACTTTTCTTTTACATTAAGTGAACCTGAATATGAGCAACAAAAGCAGTCTCCTTCTTCTTACCGGCGCCACGGGCCATGTCGGCTTTACTGTACTTGTCGAAGCGCTCCAAGCGGGCCACAACGTCCGAGTTGTTCTTCGTACTGCGAGCAAATCGAGTTTGATTTTGTCCTCAGAAGCAGTGAAAGGAATTCTAAGCTCTTCTACTGCGCCAGAGCTCTCTTTTGTAGAGGTTCCCGACTTCACGATACCAGGCGCCTTCGACTCCGCTATGCGAGATGTTGTCTACGTGATACATTCTGCTAGTCCAATCAATCGTGGAAAATTCCAGGATTTACAAAAGGAGCTAATTGACCCCGCTGTTAAGGGTACCTCGAACATCTTAGAGGCCGCGCGAAACACTCCCTCCGTTCATCGAGTGGTTATCACTTCTTCCAATTCCGCAATCGTCAGTTATAACTCTCCACCGGCAATCGGCACGCGTGTCTTGCCTAGCGATCGTCAGTCAGACTATTCTCTTAATCAGATGATGCATGATGGCGAAGAAGCCTATGTTGCGGCCAAGACGGCGGCATTGAATGCTACAGATGTCTTCGTCTCCAAAGCCGATAATCTGCACTTTGACATCGTCAGCATCATGCCAACCTATGTTTTTGGCCCCAAGGGACTTGCCCAATCTCCCGAAGATATATTGGATGGTAGTAATGTTTTTGGCATTGGCCTCGCACTCATAAAACAACCGTGGGGCTCCCTTCGCATTGAGGCTGTCTCCTGCCATGTGGATGATGTTGCCCAGGCCCACGTACGAGCGTTAAATCATAGCAACGATGCACAATTCCCATACAATGCTGGAACTCATCAGTCTTGCTTATTGGGAACCCCTTTCCAACCAGATGAGGTGAAGGAGATTATTCAAAGAGAGTTTCCGGAAGAATTATGGAAAGCGGAAGATGCAGTCTTCGGAGGCAAAGGCTCTTACGAGTGGTACCATGTCGATTATGATATTGACGCAGCAGAGAAACTACTGGGTAGAAAACTCCAAGGTATATCAGAACAGATTCGTAGTAGTGCTTTACAGGTCTTGAGAATAGCCTAATTTCGAAAAAGTTCTTACAGTAAATATGATGGATTGTCACAGAATTTGGGATTCTGGTAGTATACATGCTGCTTAGTATTGTCTTCCTATTTATTCAAACATTGTTCATGAATCGTGCGAAGTATGTTCTTTCCTTACCTTGGTCCTTGAAAGAATCGTTAGGGATTGTAGAAGCGTTTCGTGCATGAACCTTCGACGCGCTAACGTTCAGTAAGGTGGTGCTTTTAATTATCTTTTGCAAAATGAAAGGAGCCACTTCTCGAACACAAAATAGTTGCACAATTTTTGTATCTTCTATTAGAACAATGGTACGAAACATATTCATCGTAGAAGCTAAATGAATATAGCTTATTTAGAATCTTCTAGCCCAAGACGTATTGCCACTTCATTGTAACCGTCCATCCAGAGACCTGGAGCCCCCCGTGGATACTGGGAGCGAAATCCCAAGCTACGCTGCGCGCGCTCGGACAGTCCTCTTACAACATCGGCATTTAAAATGTGCGGATGCGCTTCCTCCGGCGTCAGATGGTTTGCACAAAAGGTAAATGCAACACATCCACGCTCGTGATCCGTCGTATTAGCGCCAGTGCCATGAACTACTTTGCCTCCGAATAGCAAGCAGTCGCCAGCCTCCATCTCACTTGCAATTGTTTGATCAGTGCTCCATTTCCGGTCAAAGGACCACTTCTGACTGCCAGGGATTATTCGAGTCGCACCATTAGCGTCGGTAAAATCGACGGTTGCAATAAGGAATGTGACTTGTGACTCAGGGCCATCCGGACCGAGCAAATGGTAAGGTGGATAATTTCCCAAGTCACGATGGAGGACCTGTGCGGGTTGACCAGGACCAACGTTGATAGTGTTGGCGCTGCTGATCCAATAGGCATCTATTCCTGGTCGACCACCCTTACCAAAAGAACGCGCGGCAATAGCATGCAAGAAATCGTTGTCCAACAAGTGATCGCGAAAAACGGCACTGCAATTCGTGAGACCGCCCGCACGTTTTGTCTGTGATCCGTGGAAACTTTGGAGTGGTCCAATATCTGTAGTAGAGCCGCGCTGAAACTTCTCGAGGAGCGGTTCGAGCTCTTTCCGGAGTTGTTTGACTTGTGTGGGTGTCAAAATGCCCTTTATAATAACGCCGCCGTCTTCTTCCCAATATTGGAAGACCTTATCCAAGGATGTATCGGGCGTTACTTCTCGGAGTTTGGTGTGGCCATTGGGAATGCCCATCTGGCTAGTAATGTCTGGAGAGGCCATAGTTTTGAGATTAATCTGATAAGTGGCAGTAATATCTGTGGTTTACTCGGGATATCTGAAGCCTCAACACACTCTCAACCGAATACTTATCATGCCGTAAGAACTTGGTGTTTTCATGTCGCTATATAGCACTAAGCCCAATATGGAAAAGGCGATGACGGCTCGTCGGATACTGAGACTGGACAGCCGGTTCCCAAACCGAGCATTCCGTTTCAACGATTCTTGTTCAAGCCCCTAACATGATCTGTCATGCATTTGCCAATTGTCTTAAACAATATATCTCATTGTGCTACAGTGTCTGAGAAAGATGGGTAGTAGCTTACCTACGCGAATATATACAACCAAAAAACAGTTTCTTCTCTCTCAAATTATCGAAACATGACGACCGGTTTAAACTCTCTGGTTCTTCCCAGAAATCTGGAGGAGAATGACTCCGCTGCTATTATAACACCTTCGACTAGATTTGCGCCGCAAATAGAAGTCTCCTACAAACGTCTTGCGGCAATAACCGATTTGTTACAGCGCGATTTAGCACGTTTAGGCATATCAAAAGGCTGCAAAGTCGCAATAGTACTACCTAACGGCCTGCATTTTGTCGCTTCATTCCTCTCAGTTTTACGCCAACGAGCAATCGCGGCCCCTATCGATGCCCAACTCACGGAAAGCGAATATAAAGACATCTTCTTGCGGATGAAGCCTGATCTCATAGTGACGGTTCCAAGCTCATCAGATTCAAGCAGCAACAAAGCCCCTGAGGCTCCAGTTGTGCAAGCAGCGCTTGGTTTAACCCTGCGTGTAGCCCTTTGTCGAAAAAAAAGCGATGTTGAGGAATACATCAAGCCAGAATTACACCTTCGCCTGGAACTTCTGGACTCCACTTCAAGGAACTTTCAGCCTGCCGCTGTTGTGCTTGAGACATCCGTTTTCTCAAAGAACGATGTGTGGTCTGAAGATGGAGCCCTCATGCTCTTGACTAGTGGAACCACAGGGGCGCCTAAGTCGGTAATCCTTAGTCATATGAACCTTCTTGTTGCTATGCGCATCATCATTGCGAACCATCAATTATCTTCCAGCGATCGTACTATTATTATCACACCTCTCCATCATATCATTGGAGTCTGCGGCTCTCTTCTGGTTACCCTTTTTACTGGAGGTTGCGCCGTGATACCAGACTCTTTACCTGGAACCTTTTGGCAGTACTGTACGGATTACGATATCACCTGGTTTCATGCCGTTCCTACCCTTCATCGATTACTGTTAAGATTTCCTCGCACTTCCATGCCTCCTAAACTGAGGTTTCTAAGGTCTGGGGGTAGCGAGATGGCACCAGACTTGTACGAGGCAGTGACGGCATTAGGCATACCATTGTTGGAGGTCTACGGTATGACAGAAACAGGTCCAGCAATTTTTTGTAACCATTTTGACAGCAAATGTGCGGGGAAAAGGCAAAGAAGCCACTATCCGATTGCGGATGCTGTCGACGTGATCATACTTGTGTGCAGCAATTTGCCGGACGGCGAAACCAATGATGAAGGTTTGTCACAAGTAGGAGAAAACACCAATTTCAGAATGACCAAAGAGCCCAATGTCATAGGGGAGGTCTGCGTACGTGGTAAGAATGTGATGGCTGGTTACATCGACAATCCTCAAGCGAACGCCGATGCATTCCTTCCCAACGGTTATTTTCGCACTGGTGATTTAGGAACTATCCGACCCTCAGGCCAGCTTACACTTGTGGGGAGGCTGAAGGAAGTAATAAACAAAGGCGGTGTGAAGATAGGACCCAGCGAAATTGAACATGCAGCTTTATCGCACGAGGTAGTTTCAGATGCTGTATGTTTTCGCATCACTGATGTTATGTATGGAGAAGAAATTGGTATGTATTTTGATCTTTTATTTTGTAGAGTCAAAGAACTATATTTTGCGCTGAAGAAGGCTTACTATGAAATCAGGACTAGCTGTCAAGCTCCATTCTGATTGCGAGAAGGGCGAAAACACTGAGAAAGATTTAAAGCAGCATATGAGATCTAAACTATCGGGTTTTAAGGTGCCAAAAAAGGTGAGCACATGTCTTACCTACCATCTTTAGTGCTACTGATCAAGGACTGACATGAACCGTTGCTAGATTATCTTTGTAGATGCTATCCAGTACAATAAGACAGGAAAGCCATTAAGGGCACGCATATCGCAACAGTTTGCAGAAGGACTGCTATAAAACAGCTTAAATCTCCTGTAGCGTTCCACAGCTATTTAGCAGCTCATTGCTAAGTTTAGAATCAAATCATTATTTTGTACATTGTTTCAAAATATGCATGATACACGTGTTCATAGTAATATATTGAGAGACACTTATGGCTTCCGTTTGAATCAAGAACTGAAGCTAATCTTTCAAATACGTTGCTTGTTACGACTACCACTTGGGCCTACATGACCCTAATATCTTCGAGCGTGCATCGGATAGTTGCAAAACATTCCTACTATAAGCTCGAGGTAATTCGATTATTCTTATGGCTTGAACAATCCGGATACTTCTATTTTACCCTTCTTTATGATCATCGTGGTTAGTATGTCGCGCGTTAGCACTGTGATTGTTTTTAGTGCGGTTCCTACAAAGTTGTTACATTAGTAGATATAGAGTACGTTACTCAGTCTTCATGTAAGCAACCCAGATGAAATATAGCAAACAGCAAGTCTTCTTACATTTTTCTGTTTGATAAATGATTGTAGCAGGTGGTAGTAGTAGACTTTTAGGTGTTGACATCCCCCCTTGCGGCAGCCTCGCACAGGACCCGGAATTTCGAGTCAGTTGTCTTTAGGAGGGTTTTCGGATGACCGTCCTCAACTATCTCGCCTGAATCTAAGACAATCACGCGATTGAAGAACCCTTCTCCATACACACCTGCCTCTCTATCTTTTTCGCTGTCCCAATTCTTCATAAAACTTATTAGACTGTGCGTGATCGCAATGACTGTGTATCCAGGAAATGAACGCTGTATAATATCCAAATATTGTTTTTCCGTTTCCCAATCCATAGATGAATTGAATTCATCCAGAAGTAAAATACCCCCTAATACGTCGCCTCGAGCTGTCGCAAGACAAGATTGGTTGGATGGCTTAGGCTGAGACGAGCAGTATGATTCGGAATTGCCTTCCACTGTATGACTGTGCGACTTGATTCCCTTACGCTCCTGTACATTAGTTTCAAGATGCGACTGAGTGGTGGACGGCACTTCGATTGTATCAGTCAGTTGCAACTCTCTGTCCTTTGCAATCTTTCTCAAAACCGCTCGAGCAACGCTAAATAGCTGTTTCTGACCCGGGCTAAGCTCTCCGGGCTTCGCAGCTGCTTCTAGTCCGCCTTGACTATTGACTATTGACCAAAGATTCATATCTTCTAGAACTGAGTGTATTTCCGTCGCCGTACAGCTCCCGAGTAGATCTAGGTTTTCCTGCCAGGATGCTCCGGGTGGAAGAAAGATAGGGTCTTGAGAAACAGTGATAATACGTTCCGGTAACACAGCTTGTTTGACAGTACGTACTTCGATTCCATCAATAACCATGGCATTGGAGCTCATGCTCGGTAACGGCTCGAGCAAGCCCAGTAGAAGCAATATCAGGGACGACTTCCCGCTAATTTGTGAAGCAAATCTGGATTCAGCTTTTGCCACTTGCCGAAAAAAGACTCATATTCTTGGGGTTTGCACATACCTACCAGAACGACCACAAATAGCAACATGCTGGCCAGGCTCCACAAACAGTCGTATGTCTTTCAACGCTAGAATGCTAGATAGGGTGTTTGGTTCATCTGCCGTGATTCTATGAGGCCTTAGCATGTTCTTCATCACAATCGAAGCGCCCTAGGTCTACCTGCATTGAATAAATGCTGATTTTGACCTATAACTGAACGTAGAAAACCCCGACTTACCTATAAGACGCTGAAACACCGTCGAGCTTTATATGGCCTCTGAAAGGCCAAGAACGAGGCGGTAACACGCTACGGTTTTCAACTGTGGGTGAGACTGAACACTCGAGTGATTTCAGTCGATGCACAGCGCCCATGGAAGTTTCGAGCTTCGCATACGCTTGCATGGCTGATGCTAGGATCTGGCCGAACTGTAACAGCATGACGAGACCTGAACCGGCAAAACCGGATCCGCGATTCTCAAGCTGTGTAACAAGCGTAACAACGAAAATGGCCAAAATCATAACGATAAGATTGAGTGCGAACAGTAGCCAGTATTGCACCATAGCCAGCAGGTAAGCTGGGCGTTGAGATGTCTCTAGAAGCCGGTTGTTCTCATCCTCGTATGGCTTCGACAATTGTGCAGCACGTATCATTGCGATGCCTCGGCCTACGTCTAGGAAATGCATACTGTTGTGAAGATGGTTGTCAATAAACCGTTGTAAAAGAGCTGGCACGATCAAAAGAAATTACTTACTACAGAGGACTTTTGGCCTCAAGTGCTAAAATACGAAGTTGTCGAGACGTGCGCAGATAAAGCTTTACGATCGCATACATAGTGGCAATAATGGCTGGATATATCGTGGCCAGATAAGGTGAAGAAGCGGCAAGGACGCCTGCCATTCCAATCGATAGAGCTAGATCGCAGGCAAATTGAACGAGAGATCTTGGCAGTTCACCATCGACAAGCGTGATATCTTGAGAAAAATAATTGGTGAGTGTTCCCTGGTCAGTCGTGTGAAAGAGAGATAATGGGGCTCTCATAATGGCAGTGAATATTGAAGAATGTAGTGAGGCGCCGGAAACAACGGCGATCGACGTTACCGCAAGGTACATCGTGAGGAACACTCCCAATAGACACAATACATGGAAAGCTCCATAAATACCCACCCAAAAGGCGTTAGTATGAATCGGGTGCTTTGATCTAGCATCTTTGACCCAGAAGTTGAGCCAGAGAGTCGGGAAGGCGAAGAAAAAGCCATAGCAAATGGCTGAAGTAATGAAAGCTGCTAATGTTGCTACAGAGACCGCTTTGAAGTAGTGACGATAATTAGCCAGGCCTCCTGACCAAGCGACAACTTGACTAATGCCATCAGATACGGGTCCATCAATGGTAGCGTGACCGTTCTCGCTGACTTCCAGTTGATGCACTAGGGAGTTCTTTGTCCTGATGTCTTGGGTTTCTGCAGTGTATCCGGATTTTGTTTCATTCCCTCCTTCTGCCCCTGCTTCTGCCCCTGTTTCTGCTGTTGAAGAGGTCACACTGGGCTCTTTAATGCCCAAATTTTGCACGTAACCATCCTTGCACTTGAGCATTTCCCACTTGCCCTGCTCTAGGATTTCTCCTTGCTCATTTAGGACAATGATTGCGTCTGAAACTGGAAGGTACATGATCGAATGCGTACAAAGGATTACTGCTGCACCATTGTGTCTTGTTTTCAGAAGGCCTGAGGGTCCAAAGACGTGGCGGAAGACATGATCTTCTGTTCTGGCATCAAGACCGCTCAAAACATCATCAAAAATGAAGGTACGAGCGTCCGAGTATAGCGCGCGGGCTATGGCTATAAGCTGTTTTTGACCTCCACTGAGCAATAAGCCATTGCTTCCCACTGCCGTATCGTGACCATCTGGTAGCGCAGCCAAGTGGCAAGAGAGTCCCGAGGCTTCGATTACCTCGAGATACCGGGACGGGTCCCATGGCAAGAAGTGAGTGACGTTGTCGCGTATCGTACTGTTCAACAAGAATGGCGTCTGATCACAGTACGCAATTTTGTCCCTGCCTGCTCCACCGAAAAAAACTTGGCCAGCCAAGGGGCGTATTTGTCCGAGCAACGCCTTGCATAGTGTTGACTTTCCCGATCCCACCGGACCTATAATCATTGTCAAGGCCGCATATTCGATAGCCAGACTGATGTTTTGAAGGCAAAGCTGGCCATCTTTCTGCCATCTGAAATTACCTTCAACCACTCGGAAAGCGTACTCATAGTTCTCGGGTGGCGATGCAGAGCTGTCTTTGATCTTTTCCAGTCGTATTTCCTCTTTCTCCCGCCAGTCTCCCAACGGCTCTAGCTCTAGATACGTTTGGATCCGATCGAGACACGCCAAGCCAGACATGAAAGGAGCTACTGATTGAAACAAGAGACCAAGTGGCGCTGTGAGAAGCGCAATAAGAGCAACAACGGAAAATATGTTTGGGTTTGCAACAGAGTTGGATGTAGCTGCAAGCGTAATAACCGGCGCAATTAGTTCAGGTGTGAGAGAAAGAGTCATTGCCGTGATTTGTAGCATTCGAACACCACGGCTGGCACGAAGCTCAGTTGTTCTCGCTTCGTGTATCTTTTGATTAACAATGGCAGCGAGTCCAGAGATCTTAACCTGCTTCATGCTTCCAAGCACATTGGCGATCATGGCAACGCGCTTTTGCGTTTCCTGCATCCAAACCTTCTGAAAGCCGCCGATGGATTTGCCTACAGTGACTAGAGCAAAAAAGCATACTATGACCAGACCAATGGGAAGTGCGAAGAATGCCTTCAGCCGGGTCCATAAGATCCAGCTAACAATAATCGTTTGTATCAGACTTGCCCATAGCTCGTGAAAATTGAGAAAGCCCGCCAATATCCGTTCAATGTCAGTGCTCATGAGGGTTATCGCTTGGGACTCTGCGAGAGTTGCCACACTCAGCTCAGTGGTTTTGTGAAATATGCCGCTAGCCAAACAACTGCGTGTCATATAGAGGAACCTTTGATGGTAGTACCAGTACAACGATGTACAGAGAGCGATACCGAAGTATATCAAGAACGTTGCTCCAATCAGGCCATAACCATTGTGATCAGATTTCTGTTCAGCGCTCAGAAAACTCGTGACTGCCTCTATGAGAAAGGCTTGGCTGATGCTCAAACCGATCAACGCTAATCGAGGTACAATAGGAAGCAGAAGAGGTACTAGTAAGGTTTTGATAAGGCTTTGGAATAGTGACATTCCGCTTTCCTGATTGGCTTCTGGGGATTGTTTCGAGTGGCCTTTGACATTCTTCAGAAATCTTGCATGCAGGACTTCGGCTGCCATAGCCTCATCTAGGATGGGCAATGAGTCGAGTTGAAGAGGATTTCGATAACCGGATAGCAAGAGCCGACCAAGCCAACTGAAAGTACCTAACTTGTAGATTCCGCAGGCACTATCTAGGCTCTTTGTAGCCCGATCTTGCTGTAAAAACGATTTTTCCTTTGAACGAGACTCTAAAATAGCGAGAAATCCCTTGCAAACAACAGTAGCTGTATGAAATCGTGCGAATATTGCATCCAAGTTGGAGGATGCACTAAGCCATAATGTCCGATTGTGTGCCATATCTAGAAGAAGAGTAAGGCCCAAGTACACCTCGAGAATCGCAGACGGCCTTCGACGTCTGGTATGTTCATAGTGGGATATGGCAACCAATATTAGCGCGCTGCTTGTGGTCAAGATTTGCGCGCATAGAAAGAGAGCAGATAGCTCAAATCGCGTCGTTCCTCGGGTGCTCATGACCAAAAGAGTCATTTGAATGATGAGATTGGCGAAGCATATAGCCTAAAATCACAGTGAGCGACAACTAATATATGAGGTGAAAGAATCGGTAAAATCAGTACTAGCATTGGGGGAATGCTTACCTGCTTCGATGCGTAAAGCCAAGATCGCCAGACTGCAATAATAGGCTGTAGGTAAAGCGATATTATCCTCGGAACTGCCAAAATCAAAAAGATAGCTGAAGGAACAGTAGCGAAGAAGAGTAGTTCGAATTTTAAAGTGAAGTCGAATCCGTTGCGACAACCATTTACACTAGGACCAAATGATTTGTCGCTAATACAATCTGCGAAATCCATCGTGGTAGCAGTTCAGATGTTCGCTCGCGCCTCCTGCTCCCGCGTTCGCAAGTATGATATAGAATTAGCTCTAGAGTTAATAGGATTTGACTACTATTAGAGGGTGATGTTAGTAAGTCTCAAACCTGGAGAAACTTCGAATTCTAGGCTACCACTCATTGCAAGTCCGATTTCTTGCATGGATACCTGCCAAAGTATCTTGACGCTCAGACCTTCGGCGTGGTAGATACGAGTATCCGGCAGCTACATGCTTAGCCCGATCTGGTATCCGAGGTCACATGAGAGCCATCCTAGAACAAAATATTGTTAGCGCCCACGTCCATGATTAGGTCCATACACCATGACAAGTCCTGTAGCTCTATGTATTCTTTCACTATCATGCGCCATAATCTTATGCGTACGAGACATCACAAACTTGATAAAATGCTTCAGCTATCTGTTGAGCCTTAGCGGATTATGGTATTTTTGGAGGGGGTTTCTTTGGCCACTGTACTTCTCGCCGCTGAGGCATTTGCAGTCAGTACCTGAGAGTGGTTGGTTCAGTGCAGAAACCTTGAGACTGTACACCGAGCCCAGAGGGGTTGCACAGTGCGAATGGTATGTTTACTCAGCTTATCTTGTCGTATAACTATTGATTTAGCTTACGTATTTACACCGTAGGGTAAATAAGCTCAAAGATGTGCCAGAAGGTTTGGTACGCTATCGGTCTCTGTTGGGCTTCGAAAGACTTCTTGTTGTCTCTCCGGAGGCACTCGCCGATGTTCTCGTGACTAGGAGCTACGAGTTTCGAAAACCGCCCTTTGTTGTAACATTACTGAGGCAGATCCTTGGTAGGGGCATTTTGTTAGCAGAGGGAGATGAACACAGGATGCAGCGGAAGGAGCTGCTGCCAGCATTTTCCTTTCGGCATGTCAAAGAATTGTACCCTGTTATGTGGCGTGTTGGAGAAAGTCTAACAAGTGTTATGGCTAAAACACTTCAGTACGAAACGCCAACAAGGCTTGACATGTTGGACTTTCCTTTAGGTGGGCATCAAGCTAAAATCAACGATGGGATGGTCACTGTGAACATCGCAGACCTAGCTAGTCGAGCCACACTCGATATCATAGGCGTTGCAGGTATGGGTCAGGACTTCGGGGCCATCCGTAACCCCAGTAACAACCTTCACCAAGCATACAGCCTTCTTGTTCAATCCTCTAAACAAGCTACCTTTATCGGAATTCTCCGACTTGTATTTCCAGATTGGCTTGTAAATCATCTTCCTTTGGAAAGAAACACCCAGGTAAACCACGCGATACAAGTTGTCCGTTCATCATGTCAACAGATGATTCGAGAGATAAGGCCACGCGAGAAGGACCCTAGATCGAAAGCCGATGTCGATATTCATAATAAGAATATACTCACTGTGGCTGCCGCTTCTGGGACCTTCACGGACGAGCTACTTGTCGATCAACTCATGACTTTCCTAGCAGCAGGTCATGAGACCACCGCCACAGCCCTGACCTGGGCTATCTACATTATTTGTGCATGTCCAGATATCCAAGACAAGCTCCGCGATGAAGTCTGGTCTCGCCTACCCAGGTATTCACCGACATCCGAGAGCATTCCTAAAGACCTCAGTACTATAATAGATTCTAAGATGCCGTACCTCAACGCGGTTTGTCTCGAGGTATTTCGCTACTTTTCTCCTGTACCTGTTACGTTCAGGGAGGCTATTAAAGACACTTGCATCTTTCATACGCCTGTACCTGCTGGGACTTTGGTCGTGCTCGCCCCACGCGTCACCAATCGCCACAGTACTCTCTGGGGCCCCGATGCCCTCATATTCAACCCTGATCGTTGGATTTCTCAGGAAAAACAACAAGCGAGGATGAGTACAATCTCTACCCCTATCGATTCTTCCAAAGATTTTAAGAGTGATGGGCTACAAAATGGAACGGACAAGAAGAGGACCGGCCATCGAAACAATTTCGCCATGATGACATTTTTGCATGGGCCAAGAAGTTGCATTGGGCAGTCATTCGCCAAAGCAGAACTTGCTATCTTATTGGCGTCTTTAGTCGAAAAGTTTGAATTTAAATTGGCAAAAGAAACACCTATAAACGAGAAGGAAATCAAAGTATCGAGGGGTGCTACAGCAAGACCAGAAAATGGACTCATGGTCCAAATTCGAAAGGCCGAACCTAAGTGATATATTCGCCTGAGAATTGTGCATTAGTCAACTTGAGATTTACTCTAATACAGCTTTCTTCTAGTCAAGTAATCCCAAAATCTTTAGCTACATCTCCTTGTCGTCTTTAAAGTGTTCCGCCTGCTGCTTAGCGATGAAAACTCTAGTGTATATTACGATCGATTACCGATGCTTAAGATTAGTAAAAGAGACTTCATTAGGAAGGCCCGCCTAGAAATAGATCTCTTTAAAGCAAATAGAAGTTTTATTAGCATTAATCTAGCTTAATTTAATGTAACGAGATGCTAATGGTAAGTTATGCATTCTTCCTCTACTTAATATCTTGGCTAGAATGTACTAGATACATACTAAATTGCCATGGTAATGTGCTGTCGTGTGTAAATTGTGTCTGTGAATCGGTAGCTGAATGCTGTTTGCAATAACGTGCTGGCTATGACACGGAATCCTCCAAAAGGACATGGAAGCACATTTCGGGTGAGGAACTATCGGAAGGGTTGGGACCTCGGCGGCTCTGCTCCAACGAATACGTACTAGAGGCCGGATGCTTAATCGGGATACCGTCACACACACGAACAACGGAAGCTTTCCCAATTTATAGGATATTTTAATTTTCCTCAAACCATTCGCCCATTCAGCACTTCTATAACGGTAACGACCAAGTTCTAGGTCCGACCGCAAGGCAAGACGAGGGCGTGAAGCGAGGAGAGGACCGATTAAGTCGCTTAGTGAGCAACTCATTGAGCACGTGACCAGGCAGCAAAACCACTGCATGTATCTTACCACGTCTACTGTAAGAGAATTTATTGATAACAAAAACTAATTAGTAGCCCCTGCAAGGTATTAGCCGTTATATTACTCTAATGGGAGAAAGCCCTTTCTTCAAATTCTGTTAAGTTTAGCCGTAATGTTTTCTTAGAGGGTAACCGGCAGGTGTGACATCTGTCGCTATACCGCATACGTACATCCGCACAGGCTCACAGACTATCCCTCACTTCTGTGTGTTTGGGCTATCGTTCTGGGCCTAGTTGTCATAGACATACCATGGTCCTTGTCACTTCTTACCATAACTTAGTCCTCCATTGAAATTGAAGCCTTTTGGAAATTGTATTGCTATATGTTGGGACTAGAACTCACCTTAATCCAATAGCTCTCATTTCCAAAAAAAACCCTCTAGACGGAAAGTGTTGAAGTAATTTATTATCCACAAAAATCAAACTATGAGCGACATAATGGCTGGCAAATGCCCCAGAGACCTCGTGCCAATACCTGGGCCGAAACGTAAGGTGTTCTCGCTTGTAATTTTACAAAATTTTGCATGTAATAACAGTAGAATACAGCGATTCCGTTTCTAGGGAACATACTCGATATTGATCCTGACAACTTCACAAAGTCGTTAGGTGAAATGGGCAAAACATACGGCAAGCGGCACTTTGTTCATCCATATTGAGTGGGCAACGGCAATCGCTAACTCTTGACAGGCGATGTGTACATGATTAATTATGGTTCGTACAGGGATGTCATAGTTGTTAGTCGCAAAGTGGCTGAAGAGCTTTGTGATGAAACTCGATTCTGCAAATTACCAGGAGGTGCAATTGACAGGATGAGGCGAGTGGTCGGACATGGTCTCTTCACTGCGGAAACTGCAGATCCCAGATACCAAAAAGCGCACCGTGTCATCGCGCCACTCTTTGGCGCCGCGAGGATAAGAGCTATGGCGGATGATATGAGAGATATTTGTGAGCAGATGTGTCTACGCTGGGCTCGTTTTGGACAGGACGTACCCATCGAGATCTGTGACGAGATGACGAAGTTGACTTTGGACACGATTGCCCTCTGCACTGTTGACTATCGCTTCAATAGCTTCTATAGGCCTGCAGGAGTCGAGGATCCTTTCGCAGAAGCCGTTGTAGACACCATGACAGAATCTCTGCTGCAAAGTAACCTACCTGACTGGATCAACAACTGGGTCCGATTCCGTTCTATGAACAAATTCAACCGCCAAGCAGACCAGTTACGCCACGACATTGAGAAGCTCATCGAGATGAGGCTCAAAAATCCAGTCGATCGGAATGATCTTTTGAATGCAATGCTGAGCCACGAGGATCCTAACACTGGCCAACGTCTGGACGATGAATCGGTTGTGGACAACCTGCTCACCTTCTTCATCGCAGGTCACGAAACGACGTCTAGTCTACTATCCTTTTGTTTCTATTATCTTCTTCAATATCCAGAAGTTCTCCAGAAAGCCAGAGACGAAGTGGATGCCGTCATTGGGAGCAGTACTGTGATGCCTGAACACCTACAAAAACTACCGTATCTTGAGAGTATCTTACGCGAGACGCTTCGTCTACGAGACCCTGGCCCCGGGTTCTTTGTTAAGCCGCTTCAAGACGAAGTAATAGCCGGAAAGTACCTAGTCCCAAAGGACCAGTCCATCTTTATTGTCTTTGACTCGGTACACCGCGATCCCGATGTGTATGGCGATGATGCAGACGAATTCCGGCCTGAGCGTATGGAGCAAGACAAATTTGACAAACTGCCTCCGTGCGCATGGAAGCCGTTTGGAAACGGAATGCGGGCGTGTATTGGGAGACCGTTTGCGATGCAGCAGGCATTAATAGTAAGTAGTAAAGGATTATTTCGGCCGTCTCACACTACAAAACTACCAAACTAACACTGTCGGCTAAACACAGGCTGTTGCTATGGTGCTCCAAAACTTCGATTTAATTAAAGATGAGACCTACAATCTTAAAATACAGGTAACAATGACGGTCCGTCCGGTCGGCCTTACAATGAAGGTCCGCCCTCGAAATGGCATACGCCCCACTGAGATGAGCCTGCGAATGCACCAAGGTGCAGACACAGTCTCATCTACTGAATCTTTCAGACCAATACCAATTAAGCCTACTACAGGTCCGAGCGACAATGAGGAAGTACATTTAGCGATTGTTCATGCCTCCAACTCCGGAACATCCGAGGCTTTAGCCAGTGTCCTTGCAAACGATGCTACTAAACGAGGTTTAGGTATAAAACTCATTGATACAGCGAATAACGTTGTAGGAAAACTTCCTAAAGATGTGGTTGTGGTTACCATCACAGCGTCTTACAACGGCGAGCCTGCGAGAGATGCTGTGAATTTTGTAAACTGGCTCAAAGCCGCACAAGAAGATGAGCTCGAAGGTGTGAGATATGCCGTTTTCGGATGTGGTACGTATACTTTTGAATATTACTTTGCATTCCTTGACATTTCAGTCGCTTTTCGTTTACTGCTATGATTAACCTTTCTTGGTCGTACCAACCAAGCAAATCATTCTCAAACCTCGACATTTGTGTAGTAACCCTGCTAAGAGCCTCTTCTTAGGACATCGTGACTGGAATAGCAGTTTCTTTGCCGTTCCAAAACTCGTCGATTCTCTCTTGTCAGAGCGCGGAGCTGAGCGAGTTGCACCAATGGGTACTTCTGACATGGGTGCATCTACCGACATATTCTCGGACTTTGAACAATGGACAACGACCCAGCTTTTCCCCAAGTTGAGCGATAACCGAATGCTTCATGATGGTAATGCAACCTGCGTGACTGACGCAAGGGATGTCGAACTCCAGGTATCACTGATAAAGCCTCCACTTATCGGCATGCGTGAAGGGTTTGCTGCTGCTATTGTAACCGACGCCCGCACACTATCCAGTCCGGGCGTAGCGGAGAAACGCCATCTCGAGATCCGATTACCTGTAGGGTTCAAATACAAGTCTGGAGATCATGTGCAGATTCTACCTCGCAACTCTGTCGATGATACGCGAAGCGCTCTTGGCCTTTTCGATCTTGACACTGAAACCCTAGTTAATATTTGGAGCATAAAGAGAAATATGGGTTTGGGTCTTCCACTTGATACTCCAATCAGAGCATCGGAATTGTTCAGTGCATACGTCGACCTTGGTCGCACAGCCAGTCTTAGGAACATACAGGTTCTTGCTACCCTGATGACGACTGATAAGCCTCAAGTAAAGGCTAATCTGTTTGAACTCCTTGAGCCTGAAAAGTACAGATCGGAAGTCTTGAACAAGAGAATATCAGTACTTGATCTGCTTCACATATTCCCGGACGTCAAGATATCCCTCGCAAACTTCTTGTCACTGTTGACACCGATTCGCCCGAGAGCCTATTCCTTTTCTTCCAGTCCCGACTGGAAACCAGGGTTTGCAACCTTGACATATACTGTTGTCGGTTCAGCAAAATCTCTGCCAACACTCCAACCTATGGAGCCCAATGATCCCTTTCAAGATCCGAACGGCGGTTTGACTGAAGATTGCATCCCTTTCAAACGCGGGGGGCTGGCATCGACTTATCTTTCAACACTCACGGCCAACAATAGCCTTTATATTTCACTTCATCCAGCATCTCCCAATTTCTCCCAAGACCAACCCGTCTCTCTTCCAGTCATTATGGTGGCAGCTGGAACAGGCATAGCTCCTTTCCTAGCCTTCTTACAAGACCGCAAAATTACTGCTTCCGCTGCTTCTAGGTCACTAGAACAAGCCGGAAAGCGTAAAAACTTCCCGAAAACAATCTTGTTCTATGGCTGTCGCGGCCCAGCGCTCGACTCCCTTTATGCCAAGGAGATTGCAGCATTCGAGGCAGATGGTCTCGTCGAGGTTCGCCGCGCATTCAGCAGGGACCACGAAGCAGCAGCAGCTGAAGCAGCGGGTTGCAAATATATCCATGAGCGGCTAGCAGACTCGAAAAACGATATTGTAGAGATATGGAAGGCTGGTGGTCGTGTTCTTGTTTGTGGAGGTAAAAATGTAGCCAACAGTGCCTATGACGTCCTTGGGCCGCTACTCTGGGAGACTGATAAACAGTATCAAAAGAGTGAAGCGAAAAGTTTACAGGAGTGGCGTGATGCTCTAGAGAAGGATAGATATGTAGAGGAGTTTTTCCTGTGATATTATGGTATGAACTATCATTCCTGGGGTTTTAGAAGATACTCTCTATTTAGAAGAACCTGGTTCTAAAGAGTCATAGATTCTACCTCTCTTCTTCTTCTTCTTCTTCTTCTTCTTCTTCTTCTTCTTCTTCTTCTTCT